GCGATCACCCAGGCGGGAAGGCATATATCCTGGCCGCACCAATGACCCAACTCTTAACGGGAAGGCATGTATCCCATCTGCAGTCAAAGGATTTATTAGGAAAAGCTTACAATTGATATTTGTATACAAGTCATTTCTTGGGATTATATTTAACTAAATGGCATCAAAAATGGCATTAGGTTTTGGTTTTTAAATAATATTTTTTAAAATGATAAGTCTCAAATGATAGTTTGCAGTATTTTTTAATTCAATAAATGTTTTCAGTGATATGTGTCTTATTAATTTAATTACTTAATGTATATATTTTTATCCTATTATTATTATTATTAGATGTGATGGATGCTTGACTGTGATATTAATTCTATATAATAATTAATTGTTAGTAATGTTGATGAGATTATAGTAAAAATAATTATATAAATAGAGCTGTTTATCAATAAAAATAATTTTTAAAATAAGATTTTTATTCTACTATTCTTTCACCTGAGTGATTCTCGAAAAATTATTACTTGTTATTTTTATTGTATTGATATTTCCTAATCTACTGTTTTACCATATTATTTTTTTGTTTATATATATATATATATATATATATATATATGTATGTATATATTTAATTATATATGTCATAAATATTAAAACAGGAAATAATTTTTTTTAATGTGGCAGACCATATATACATAGAAATCTTCCAATTAATAATATAAAACAATATTGCAGTTACCAAAGAAATTGAATGTTTTTTACTGTGCTGTGGATGTTGAAAAAAACAGTTTATGTTGGTTTTATTTTTTTTTTTTTTGTATGATATCCAATGTTTAAAACTTAAAAATACATTAAGACCAAGACCCGAATTTCTATGAATTGTATATTTTGTTTGGGTGCAGTTCTTAAACAGGTGATAAAATATCTTTATGAATCAGTGTACCCAGGTGTAATTACTAAAATTTGCAATTGCATTTGATGATAAATGCATATTTTATTTATTAATAATTATGTGTGTTAGTTTGTACTTTAACTACTTTCATATTCATCTGTGTATTTGACAGTTTTTTATTGCATATTATAATAATAATAATAATAATAAGGCTTAGCGAACCCGAAGGTTCGATGCCGACACCACCAATCGCTTGTTACACACCTCCCTCCACCGTTCGCCGTCCAAACCCAGTCCCTTCAGATCAGCTTTAATGCAATCTTCCCACCTTCGCTTCGGTCTACCCCTCCGACGCTTACCATTCGGCACAGCAAATATTAACCTTTTAGGAATTCTCTCGTTACTAAGCCCAACAACTTTACAAGCCCATTTGATTCGCCGCGATGAAATTACCTCAATTATATTACCCGGATATAGCTCACGCAATTCGGCGTTGTGTAACCGTCTGAACTCTCCGGTTAACTCATCCTTCTTCGGTCCGAATATTCTACGCAATACTTTATTTTCAAAAACCTTAAGACGCTGCTCATCCCTTAATGTAAGCGGCCAAGTTTCGCATCCATAAAGAACTGTAGGCAAGATAATTGTTTTATAGATTCTAATTTTTAAGTTTCGGGACAAGAGGCGCGAACTGAGTAGTTTTGTCACAGAAAAATAACAAGCATTCCCCGCCTTCAATCTAACTTTAATCTCTTCTTCAATTTCGTTTTTTTTAGTTATCGTAGAACCTAGATACCTAAATTTATCTACCTGTTCAAACATATTACCATCTATATCGATATCACCAGTAGTATCGCCATTTTTGCAGCTAACCATATATTTTGTTTTATCCACGTTTATTTCGAGTCCTAGTTCTTTACCGGCTTTCATTAACGTTGTCGTATTTAGTTTTATAGTTTCAACGTCTTCGCTTAACAGTACCAGATCATCAGCATAGCCTAGCACGGATGTTGTCCCGCCCAGATCCAACCCTTTCTCGGTACGCATTACCTCCCTAATGGCATGTTCTAATGCCAAATTGAACAGGACAGGCGAAAGAGAATCCCCCTGTTTTAATCCCGAACGAACCTCAAATTTTTCGGACAAATTATTACCGATTCTGACTTTATTGAGTGTCTCCGTCAAGCACATCCTGACTAGATTTACTAGTTTTTTTGGAATTCCCTGCTCGATTAGAATATTATACAGTTTCTGGCGGTCAATAGAATCGTAAGCCTTTTTAAAATCTATATACAGCTGGTGAACAATACCGTTATACTCCAATTTTTTCTCTAATATTTGCCGTAAAGAAAATATTTGATCAATAGTCGAACGATTCCGTCTAAATCCGCATTGGTAGTCTCCGATAATTTCCTCGGCGTATTCCGTGATTCGACTGGTTAAGATTACAGTGAATATTTTATAACATACCGGAAGGAGTGAAATTCCTCGATAGTTATTACAATCCGTCCTCGGACCCTTTTTGTGAATCGGAATAAGAATAGATTCTTTCCATTCTTCAGGTAATTTCTCGTTCACCCAGATCTTTTCAACCAACCGATGTATTTTAGAAACTCCAGCTTCCCCGCATGCCTTAATTAGTTCAGTAGGAATATTATCGATTCCCGCTGCTTTATATGATTTTAATTTTCCGATAGCTACTTCAACTTCCTCTTTACTTGGTCCTTCTATCAACGGTTCAGCACTCTGGTACTCAGAAGGAGGACACCGATCATAATTTCCCGTATTTAAAATATTGTCAAAGTGGTCCTTAAACTTATTCAATATGTCAACCGGATCGGTCAGAATATTGTTATTATCATCCCTAATTCCAGACGTTACGGGCCCTACATATTTACGTGATCTGTTTATACCTTTGTACATGTCTCTTACGTTATTTTGGATTCTATTAGTTTCTATTTCAATTATTTTATTTTTAAGATACTCCCTTTTTTTATTTTTGAGCAATTTTGTCGTTTCGTTCTTTGAGATTCGGAAGTATTCCAGATTGTCTTCGCTAGGATTATTTAGAGCTTTTAATTTAGCGGCTTTCCTTTTTTCGCACATGTTTAAGCAATCTTCATCAAACCACGGTTTGTTATTCTTATTTTCCTTTTTTCCTAGACACGAGTAACCGACCGCTTTAATATTATCCCTGATCTCTACCCATAACTTGTCAATATCCTCGTGGTCCTCGTCAGGAAGCTCTAAAGCTTCAAACCTATTCTTAACATCTAGCTCGAATTGGTTTCTAATTGATGGATTTTTTAATTTTTCCAAATTAAAATTCTCAAAATCGAAACGGTTTTCTTTTCTCTTTTTTATATTAAGTTTTTGTCGAAGTTTCGCGATTACTAATTCATGATCCGACCCACATTCTGCTCCGCGATAAGACCGTACATTGATTATACTGCTTTGCCAGCTGTGTTGTATCAAGACATGATCGATTTGATTTCGTGTTTGCGAATCCGGCGATGTCCAAGTATATTTATGAATATCCTTACGTTTAAACGTCGTACTTTTAATTACCAGGTTTTTCGAGATGGCAAAGTTTATCAGACGGATCCCATTATCATTACTATATTCGTGCAAACTTTCTTTACCAATCGTCTGAATATAAACTTCTTCCCTTCCTACCTTTGCGTTCGCGTCACCTACAATTATTTTCATGTAGTTTCGCGGTAGTTTATCATAAACCCATTCGAGTTTATCGTAAAATTCACTTTTGACTTCATCGTCACTGTCTTCGGTCGGACAATGTATGTTTATTAATGCGATTTTAAACCAACGTCCCTGAAATGTAGCTACCGAAATTCTATCACTAAAGAATTGTACGTCCCTCAAAGCGGATAGTAATCTACTCCTAATTAGAAACCCGGTACCTAAACAATGATTCCCGCTTCCTCCGTACCAAATAGTGTACTTTCCTTCCCTCATCGAGCCCTCCCCTGGCCAGCGAACCTCTTGCAGAGCCACGACATCCAAATTGTACCCATTTACCTCATTCGCGACCGATTTTAGCCCCCCTGCTGTGTTTAAACTCCTTACGTTCCACGTACCAATATTTAAATCCCTATATTTCAACTTGCGGCATGAATCCCCTAAAGCAGTCCCCACCCGGAGACCCGAACGGGGGACTAGTTTACCTCCGGATAATGAGCGTTTTACCTTAGGGAGATCCATGACTTTTTGTGGTGTTTGGTGAACTAAAGATATGTGAGTAGGGCGTTCAATCCTACGTCACACCCTCCAGCAAGTCTGGTGGGCCCCTACCTCCAGCAAGTCTGGAGGTCCCCTCCCTCCAGCAAGTCTGGAGGGCCCCTCTCATTGTTGGTCAGCGAGTCCATCGGACTTAGCCGGGAGGAACTTCCAAGGAATTTCCACCGACCATCCCCACATCCGCCACCCGTGGGACGCTCCCCATACGCGGTAATGAGCCCGCGCGAGGATTGCATATTATATGGCATATTTTTTGCTGCATAAAAACTGTCCCTGATTAAGACTTAGAAAGGAAGAAAAAACAAAATTAAAAACATTATTAGCTCATTAAAGAGTGGATTCACAATTTATGTCATTAAAATGCTTCACATTTTATGAACAATTAAAAATTATTGCATTTCATATTGGAACCATAGAATATTTATGCTCAAACAGAAAAAATAGTGAATATTAAAAACATTCAACTAATAATAAGCTAGAATTTTTCACAGTTGCCATAACTAATTAAATCTGAAACTATAAAATAAGGAATTACTCTTACCTTTGAAAGATTGTTTTAAATTTGGCGGTTCTAATAATCCACTGGTATAGTGATAAAAGATGGTGGAGGGGGGTCCAAAGTTAGTAATCTAGGGTCTATCGAGGAGTCGATATCCTCCTATTGGAATATTGTTAGGTTACAATGGCATCTACTGTTTTCACATGTCCCGATTTATAAGATCGATTCTTAGCATTGACTAATAGTGCGGGCAAACAGAGATTAGCTCAAAGTTGTGAACAGTCAAAGTTAGTGAAATGATTTAGTTTTTAACTTACTTTTGTACGATTTATGCATTTGCATCCAATTTAATACCATTAACACAAAATGGAGTCGGATCGAATGCCTTCCTACGTACATAAAGGTAAAGTGTGAATTATTTTCCCGATGGTCGATTATATATCGGTTAATTAAGTTGATATCGTTATCTGATTTGTTGATTGATTCTTGTTTATTTTTAACATATTTTTTAAAAATGTATCTTGTTACAAGTTGGTTTTAAAATCTGTGTGAGTTCTGAAAGTTAAAATTTCAATTATGTTTTCTAGTGGCAGATGTCATGCTTCTGGATTCTAAAGAAGATTACTATACTAGTTTTGCTTCAAAACATCAAGTAGTCCCATATAAAAAACTAGTGGTACCATCTGCAATGAGAAGTATTTACTGGAAATGTTATGGTTTTCCAGCTACTGAAAACAATGAAATTTTGACCAGAAATAAAATTGTTTGTTTATTGTGCAAATCTCAAATGATCTACAATCGCAATACCAGCAATTTAAGAATGCACCTCCAGAATAAACATAAGCATGAACTTGAAGCTTTAGAATTAGTTCAACCAATGCCTAGTTGTAAGTCGGGAAGGACTGACAGACGTTCTGCCAGAAGAGGTTGTAAAGTTCGTAGAAGGGACCAAGATGCTATGCAAATGTGTCCGGTTACCAGCCAAAATGAAGAATCTGTTGAGGTAATTCAGCAATTATACTATAAAATCCTTCATTTATTTTTGATAAAACTGTGTTTATTGTTAGGCACTAATTGTATGAATGATAAGCCACCCCCACCATGTTGGATGTCAAGTGGTGTATCTTTGGTACAAAAAACAAAAAAAGATTTATGTTCTAGTTTTAGATAAAGTGATTGTCACTTATTTATTGTTACCTACTGGCCCTTGTAATGAATAAGTGATAAACACTCTCTTTGCTAGATACAATATATGATATACTTTTTTTGTATTTTGTTCCAAAGTTTTTATTACAAGCCACTATATCTCCCATCCGTTTTCAAATTTACCTTAAAATTGTTTGAGCTCTAGACTTTCTATCGATTTCATTATCAACTTTTAAATGATAAGTGCACATAGCAGGTACGTTAATTCTTTTAGCTGTTTTAGAAAGTCCTAATTATGAACTATGAAATTTATTAATCCTTTCTTCCCAAACAATTTTAAAATTATTAATAATGTTGTAGAGATGGTTGACCGTAATATAATATGAGAAGGAGTTGGTCTGGGAGTGCGGTCAAATAAATACCAAATTTTAGAAATTAGTGTTTTTAATTATTAGGCCGAAGTTTTGACCCACCTTACAAGTCTTCATCGGGGCGTGGCATATGGCACTGCAGGAAGCAGTTTACTCATATTAAAATTAGTTTTTCTTTATGATAACAAGCACATCAATGTTGTAGTTTGTTTTCATTGTTTCTGATTCTATTATTTTTCAAAATTATCTGTATGGATTTGTGAGTAAATGTTTATACACACAACTTCTTAATAAAATATTTATTGTTGGTAAACTAATTTGATAATTTATAATTTTGGATGGATTGTTGATTGTAGATGTAAGCTTGGAGAACTTGATTAGATGTTTTGGTAAAAAAAGATAACAAATGTAATACTTTTTTTAATCTTTCCCACTGTTTTGTCTTAAGTTTTAAGCCTTTTTATCAGGTTGAAGAGTTTGAATATTTAGAAAATATTCTTTAGACTTGATTTTAATTTTACTTCAAAACTGAAGCAATAATTGTTCAAAAAAATTTCTTTCTTAGTAACAAAAAATTTTTTTTAAAAATTTGAAGAGCATAACTTACGGAAGCATGTGATTATAAAATATATATATATTTTTATTTACATTTTTTATGCAATACATCATGTCATAATGATAAATTATAAGTTTGTGGTTACAGTAACCTTACAAATAACATTGTTTAAATGCTATTAAGAAAATTTAAATCCAGTTTTTACAGCAGGAAAAATATAATAAAAAACCTAAATAAGATATAAATGAAAACTAGATTACAATCATTAAAAGTACAAGAAAAATAAAATATAATTTATATACAAAAGAAAACTATATGTATATGTATACACACACACACACACGTATATATACATATACACACATCCTACATATATAATTTAACTATAAAATAAGTTTTATGTTGAATAATATATGTATTAAAATTAATTAATAATATTTTTTTGTTTCAGATTACTGAAAGCAACTTGCCACATTACTTATCAGATTTGGACGAGGTATGTTTAATATGATATAGTTTTTCTATATTTTTCCGTATGAAATATTCTTTTTAATAAAACTGAAGTCGTTTGGTTTTTGCTGAGTTTTTTTTTTTTTTTCTGTTCTACCTTTAAATATTCACAGTTAAAAAAAAATTGTATTATAAATATATTTGTTTTTATTAATTACTATACAAAACACTTGAAATTTGTTTTCTTTTATTTTTGTAGACAACTTTTGCCATCGATGGTAAATATATAGCAGATACTATTGCTGAGTTTGTAATAATGGATTTACAATCTCCAGATATTGTGGAAGGAAAGGGTGAGTTTTTGATTCATTCATTAACTAGCTGATAGTTCATAATGGCGAGTTCGCTATCTTATGTTATTTTGTATATTTTCAGGCTTTCAAAGGCTTGTTGCCACATTAAAATCTCCTTGTGAAATTCCATCTAAATCTCGATTGACTGAAGAATTCATTCCGAAAATATATGACTCAGTCAAAGAACAACTTGGACCTGAAATATCCATTATAAATTTTGAAATATCTTTAAGCGTAGAAGATTGGGTTTCTTCGTCTGGTGATACTTATTCTACTGTGTCAATGCATTACGCGCAGGTTTGTTAGATTTTTAAGTTACTTGTTTAGAGCATGTCTTAATAATAATCGTGTGGTGTTTAATATACTTTAATTCAACTTTCTCACAATGTCCATCAATAGAAAAATCCTTTTTCCAATTTCTAAATAAATTATTTTCCCTTTAGGTTTCAAGAGGGTGTATACACATTTGCTTCGTTTTTTCATAATTGAATTTCATTAGAATTCAGCACTACATTTTTCATATATATATATTATTTCATTTTGGTATTTTTTAAGTTCTAAATTTCAGTCATTTCATTTATTATGAATACTTAAATGCTATTTTGTTTCTCATAAATACATATCGAATAAGTTAGGAACAATGAAACGCATAAAATAACAAAAAAAAAATTATATAATAGAGGTTGAAGGGACTTTCTATGTTAGCAAATAATATCTCCTATAGCATTATCATCTGCACGGTCTTGTGTGACCGAAAAAGATATTCGTGGTTGGTTTAGTTCAGTTGTGAGTATTGTGATAGAAAGAAATGATTTTTATGTTTTGTTCCATCTTTCCCATATCATCTTAATAGAGATTAATCTGGGCATGTTTTAAAATCTTAAAAACGCATTAAATGCATACTAAGAAAATATATCAATCTGTTAACAAAATGGATAGTGAACTAATGAAATGTATAAAGTTTTAAAAAAAATTTAACTATTTTAGTACCCTAGTGTTTTTTAGAGTTTTGGTTCTTTATTTTCAACGAGTAGTTTATTTAATAATTTCGCAAGATGGTATCTGCAGGTTTATAGTAAAAAATTTATTAGAAAGGAAAATACAGCACATTTAACAATTTTAAGGCGGTTTTACACATTTGTAATAGATCATATACACAATGAAAAAAAAAAGCTATAAATAAGAGTTTTACTTGGTTCTATAGTTTCAAAGAAACAAACATGGCAGAAGAGAAAATATACAATTTGTCCAAGAAGATGGTGGAAGAAAATTATACGCTCTTGTTTTCCATGGTTTGAAAAACTTGTAAATGTTGCTTTACATTCAGTATAGAATGCCGTTTTGATTCTATGTTACCCAAAATGTCATCTGGTAGACTATGTAGGCGATATTCTCTTTTATATCAATTTTCTTCAATTATGATCGCAACTCATGATTTAGCCTATTTTTTATTTTAACTCGGGAGTGGAGTAGCTCAGTGGAGTTGGGCACTGGGCTGCTAAGCTCAAGATCCTGTGTTCAAATCCGGCTGATTTCAAGTAATTTTTCATCATTCGTGGATCTACTCTGGAGTCGAGAGACCCTTATACTAGAGTGATTATGTTTATGCAAACATATATTTAGCATCATTTAACTAGGTTATTTTATTAATTTATTTTCCTTTTTTTTTTAGATGGATGATGGTGAACTTCAAACCAAGATTTTGTCATCTATTTATTGTTCCGATATGGATGCACTTCATTGGGGAGTCCAGTTTGATTCGGTGATAGAAGAGTGGGATATTAAAGTTTCTCGTGTTAAGGCAATTATTGTATCCTCCAACAGAGATGAGGTCTATGATTCTCTTATTGCTAGGTCTTATACTATCGTCCCCTGTCTTGGGCATACCATACAGGTAATATGTTTTATTATTATTGTTCATAATAAATTTTTAGTTTCTATGGTTTGCAAATGAAAACATTTTTATATACGGTATAGCTTATAGGTGAGGAACCCATGACCTCAGTTAATTTGTATGCACTCTTCATTAATCTAACTCTAGAATTAATTAATATTTAATTATTTACGTTATGAACATATCGATATTAAAAGTTGATTATAATTATATTAGTGTGTGTATTTACTTATAATTGAAAATAACTACAGCAAAAAATACAATTATTGTGTCCTCCATTATTTCAGTCTAACCTTAAGGCAGCTGTTAATGGTAGAAAGTTTCCCCATCTGTGGTATAGCTCATTTAATAAAAAGGAAAATTTACCATCAAAACGTAAAATAATTTTTGAATAAAAATAAAAATAAGATGAGATACAATAGGAGGGATTGATTTAGTATCCATTGAATGTCCATGAATAATAGTAAATTTGATTATAATATATAATTTAATAATCTTAATTAAACTTTCTCTTTAAACAATTTATTTTTTGTATTTAATTTTCGATAGCTCTTTATTGCATGAGGTTATATTATTTCTCAAATATTGGAAGTTCTGTGGTTAACCTGATTGTTGTTGAGAAATGTTTTTTAATGGAACAATTGATTTTTATTTGATTTTGTTATCAAATTTAAGATTATGTATATTTTTATTTTTATATTAATTTTTAGGCTGCGTGTATGGAAGCTTGTTTCTACAAACCCGAAGTGGACCTAATCGTTAAAAAATGCAGAACTTTGATTGCTTTGGTCAATCTCAATCCTGCTTGTAATAATTTTCTTAGAGAGCAAGAAGGATTAATAGAGGTACTATTTGTTGTAATATGTATTACCTAGCATGATATATAATAAATATTTTAATTGATTGAAGTATGTTTTGTGTTTTCTCACAGAACTGCTAGTTATATTATCGAATAGAGTTGTCGAGTAGCCTTGAATTCCTTTAAGATTGGGAATGATGCTTGGATTTTTTAGTGTCCGGAAAATATTAAAAATATGCATGAAAAATAGCCAGTCATAAAAAAAGTTTTAGTTTATACTGTAATAATTTCATTTTCTAATTAATACTTGGCAAGATATTTTTTAATGATTAAGGATTGATGTAGTTTACTTCTCCAAAAATAATTACTAAAAAAGCCTCCTTCTACTTGAAGGCAAATTCACAAACTATGTCTTGTCGATCAAGTAAGACAGTACCTGTAAAAAGCAAATCATACTTATATAATTGAAATAAAATCCATGATGAAATCATATTATGTGAATATTCAATTACACATACACCTATAATACACCCCAGTCTCTAACAAGAACTATGATAATTTGTTGCTTGCTAACTTTTTTTTTTTTTGTTATAGCTTAATATTATTATTTTTCTTTTGTTTAATTCTTAATAATCATTCCCTCCAGTGTTTTAAAAATGGGTTTTAATGTTTATACAATAAACTATCAAAAAAGAAAATATAAATTTTATTTTGTTGTGTAAAATAAAGAAATACAATTGTGTTGAATTTAATATAATTACTTTTCTTAACCGAGATGAAGGCCTGAACTTCAGGTCGAAACATCGGAAAATGTTCAAATAAATATTATTATTTATTTTTGCCTTTTTATTTCTGACTTATCACCCCAATCATCCTTCTCTTCATTATTCACGACAGTCAACCATCAACCTACAATTGATAAATTTAAATTTGGCATAATTGTTTTTTTTTTTTGTTTTTTTGCAGTATTTTCTACTTGTTTTGATTTATAAGAATTTAGCTTAATATTTTTTATAACAAACAAGGATATTACCTTTTTAACCATTCAAATTTTACATTGTATTAAATGCTGATTAAATATAGCATTTTTAGTTCATAACCTTTGGCTATGAACTAAAAATGACTAATTACATTATATTAAAAATGTAATTACCTTTTTAACCATTCAAATTTTACATTGTATTAAATGCTGATCAAATATAGAATTTTTAGTTCATAACCTTTGGCTACTTTAATTTTTTCATGCTCTATCGCAGGGCACCGTTTTCACTGTTCCAGTGGGCTTGTATGTTATATTTCTAAAATTGCAGTTTTCTTGAACAATATATGATATTTTGATTTCATAAATTATTTTATTTATTTTCTTGAAAAGTTTTATGAATTATATTAACAATGTAATATGAAATATTATATTAACAAACTTTCTATTTTAGTGTGAAAAAGGTGGTCTTCAACCAGATACTCCGCCATTATGGTCCTCTACATTTACTATGCTTGAACAACTCCTGGTCAGAAAAGATATTTTGCCAAAAATATATATTACCTTATCAAACGCTGGTTATTCTGTGGATTCTATACAGTTCAGTACTGATGAATGGTCGATAATAGCAGATATAACTGAAGTGCTATCTCCATTTAAGGTATTTATCAACTTTTCTATTTAATAATATAAAATAAATATGCTTAATTGGAGTGACTGTGTTAAACGAGTTATTTAAGGTGGTAGCTGTGAATACTGAAGTCAAAATATTCTAGCTTAGAGCTCTCTTGGGATGGTGCATTGCCTAGCAAAAACACACCTTCTGTTTGTCCATTTGATTCCGTTTATATTGTACTTTCAGTATTACTTTTTTAATGAATCAAGGGGGAAAAAAATTAACTTCCCTTCAAAATTTGAGTTTTTACATATCAATATACATAGAATTAAAAAAAAAAAAAAAAGTGTCAGGAACTTTTGGTATAGGGCCAATTTGGTTCCAAATTCACAGGCCACTCCAGAATGATCATTTTCGTTATCGCTTCATTTCTGAATGGCAGCTGATTAGAGCTTTCATAAACTCATATCTCAGTCATTTATGGAGATAAACGAAAACTTCTGTTCGAATCGTTATACCAGAACAAACAAAAAAATTGTATTTTGGTTTATTATTTATAAATCTTTGTACCTAATTGAACTAGAAAAATTAATTTTAACCATTCACAAAATTGTTTTCAAATATTTTTATTATAATTTGAAATCATTGGTAATTAATAACAGAGATACGGTATTTTGGACTTCGATCACATTTTTTAAAATATTCATTACATGCATGTTTCTATAAAAATCCTTACCTTTGTTTAATTTTTTTTAACTTGAAATCTTCCGATTTCATATTTGAAATATCACTTAATTATTTACAAAGGTTAGGAAAAGAAAAATTGAACCAATGTTAGCAAAAAAAATTTTTTGACAAGATTTTTCTCTAAAGATGTATAACTATTTCAAAATAATAAATAATTATGTAATAATTTGCAGTAATTTTGACCTTTAGCCATTGATAGTTTAAATATTTGAATATATACCTTATTTTTAATGAGACAAATAAAAAAAATAATGTTACCTTTATTTATGTTTTAAAAGATAAACTAATGAATCTGTTACTTAATTTTTTTTTTGGTAGGTTGCTATGACAACGCTTTATGAAGAAAGAATACCTCTAATTTCTATTTTAAAACCACTTTTGCAGCAGCTTAAAAATGTTCACTTGGAAAAAAACAAATTTGATTCAAAATTCGCTCTTGAACTTAAGTCAGTCCTTTGCACACTGATCATGAATAAGTAAGCTTTTTTTTATTCTTGTACGGTTCATGTATATTGTTTTTGTTTTTTAAAATAAAATTAATATAATGTATTTATTCTAGGTATAATGATCCAAGAATTAATGAAATTCTAGATATGTCATGTGCATTGGATCCAAGGTTTAAAAATTTGCCCTTTATGAATGACAAATGCAAAGATCGTTTAAAAGATAAATTGAAGGAAATGATCAATAATGTGGCGCAAGCAACTTCAGGTTTTCGGGATACCGTTTCTTCTCCTAGTAAACGATCCCGTCTTTCAGGTAATCAAAACTTAATATTGCTTTTTAGTTTTTTATACTATTTAGTAGATGAAACAAGCTTTCATGCTGAATTCCTCTCCTGAAATATAAAAGTAATTTTTTGTTTCATTAGCCCATGTAAGCACATTTCAATACAAAAATTTTATTTCTAAAAGCTTTTTTTTTTAGCTGGCTTAAAGTCACTCAAATATAATTTTATATATTTTCTTCTGAGTGATTATTGTAAAAAAAAAAAAAAAAAAAAACCCTCCCAACAAAACAAAAAACAGAATCCATTAAGGAATTAATAACTTAATGATGACTCTAGAAAAGTTAAGAAGTATGTATGATAATAGATTATATATGAATTAATAATTAACAAATTTGTTATTAAATAATTCTTTATGGTGGAGATATGCGTTTTTTTTTTTCAAAAATTCTTGAAAATAGATGGTTGGGATAAGAGCTGATATCATAATAATATTCGGCAACATTTGACTTTGGTATTCCATGAACAAGTGTGACCAAATTGATTGTGAACCACACCTAATCCATGCGGATTAACTCTCATTAACTAGTACCATTTTTTTAATCTACTGTTGTATTTTTATTCATGTCTAATCACTTTGTATAATAATTTTAAGGATAGATATTTGATATAAGAGTTTCGACATAGGTATACTAAGATAATTAATTGGGGAGGAATTACTGCTGACTAAATATTTTTTCCTAATTTATGCATATTATTATTTTTTTTTTTTAAGGAATGGAGTATCTACTAGGAGACCTTTGTGTCAAGAATGACGTTCCTTCGGCACAACGTATTCATTTAGAAGTTGTCCAATTTGAGTGTGAACCTCCGATAACGCTCGACAAATCTCCAATACAATATTGGAAAAATAATCAAGGAAAGTTTCCAAATATATCCAAATTAGCTCTGCAGTTTCTTTGTATTCCAGTTTGTGTAAATAACTATTTAAATTCTCATTTTAATTTTAAAACTTCCAATTCAATTTTAACCCCTCAATTAGTTCATAAATTAAGGTTTTCTCATCAAAATAATGTAACATTATGAGAAAAGGCCAAAATTCATATTGTAAATAAGTAAATTTTATATAGCCTACATGAAAGAAGAAAACCTAAAATAATTTTTTTAAAAGTTATGACAATATTTACATAATTAAAATTATTACAATCAAGCCACTGTCTTTCATTGTTATATTGAAAGCCTGTATTTGTCCAATAAAAGAAACAGCTTGATGTATTTATTAAGTTGTTAATTGGTTATTTAATATGAATATAGTATTCAGAGGTTATTATTAGGTTACTCTGCTCTCTAAGTCAAAAACCATTTCTTGTCATTGTCTTTGAAGTACTAAATGTCGTAAAAATTTAGCTGTTATATTAATAGTTGAAGATATCTATTTTTATTAATATTGAGACTGTTTTTTGTAATTAATTATTAACTTTTAGTCATTTTCTAGTATGTAGTCGATTATGGATAAAAACTGTAGTTAAAAATAATTTTAACCAACTCTGTAAGTTTTATCAATACAATTGATATGTATATATAGTAAAGATAATGAGCCTTATTTCAAATAGCTTATTTAAAACATTGAAAAATTATTAAAACATTGTATTTATTTCATTTTTTATCTAAACTTGCTAGATTTTTCTGACAGCTTAGAACTTATTATGAGATTTGATCCCATCTTAATAACATTGGTCAAAATTAAAGCGTTACTATATTGGTATAGATAGTATGTGATAAATTTCTAATATTAGTCTATTTCAATTATTAAGACAATTTTTGGTTTCTATCATTGACCCAACAAAAAAATCATGGGAATTAATATTTTTTGTTTTTATTTTGTTCTTGAAAACTCAATACACATATTTTTCAACTTTTCTCACATTGACAATTTTTATCATTCCTCGTTCAATCCCTTCTAATATTTTTTAGTTTCTTTGTAGATATATAAATCTAACCTTTGAATCATATTGTCATATACATTAATTCAAAAGTGTATTTGTTTACATTTTATTGAAACCTATTCTCAGCCAAAGTCTCATTTTGAATAAGGTATAAGTATATTTCTAATATTTTAAATTCTTTTTTTCATATTATATTTAACTTTCTGTGATATTAATATGTATAATTTTACTATAATAAGTTGAACTACAATTTTTTTTTTTTATTATTGATTGTATCATTTTTGTTTGATCGTTGTATCATCAAATTACTTTCCCTTTAATAAATTGTTTTTAAAAATATTTATCACCATCTTATTGTTAACTAATTTTTAAGACAAATTATTAATCATTTCTGTTATAAAATTATCATTTTTATTTTAATACTGTATCAAGTTTAATTTATTTTTTAAATAGTTTTAAACGAGATAAATTTAATTGAAATTTTCATGTTACATTGTATAGTCACAATATAATATTGTATATAATTAGTTAACATCATTGTACATGTTATGTAAATAGAATAATGTTATTTAAATGTATAATATTTGTATCTGTAAATAAAATCATCTTCATGTTTATAATATTTCATCATTTGTCCCACATTCTGTTTTATATCTTAATTTATTAATGGATTTCTTTTGTCCTTTTTTATTGGTGACTACTTCAGTATGATCACAGTGCTTTATTATTTTTTAATGACTTATTAAAAACTATTGTTTTTTTTTTCAATTAATAAGAAATATTTTTCTTATTAAATAATGCTACCCAAAGAAATCAGTTTGCCATTTAACACCTATAAATATACAAAATATTCTTTACTCAATACGCCATCGCCTGAAATGGTGAAATGTTTTTCAAGGTGGCTTAGAAATGAAAATGCACTTCCTACAGCAGTCCAGCTTTATATCATAGTTATATAAAACGTATAGATAGATTTAATTTATGAAGTGAAGATTAATAATCCTACAATTGGTTAGAGAGAAATACCTATTGGCAAAGAAATTTCTACCTGATAAAATGTTCGTCAAATCAATATACTAAATAAGAGTATATCAGAAAACATTCATTAGTTTAAGTCATATATATATAAATACATATTAATCTAGCTTTTGCAATTGTGAAATAGTTAAATTTACCATCAATTGATAAATTTAAGATTTTATATGAATTTTTGTTAAAAGCCCAAACATAATAATACAATTGTTTCTTTAGTTAAAGTTGCACCAACTACAGAGAAAGGTAATTATTCTAATAAATAGATTGCCTTTATAGGAGTCATAATTATATAGTAAATAAAAGGTAATCAATTATATTGAATGGAAAACTAAATAAAAAAAATTCAACAGCTGATACTGTGATAATATATAGTACAATGTCTTTCATTGTGAATCAAATAATTTTTTTATATGTATGTTAAACCAAATTAATTGGATAATTAAAAAATCAAGTAAGGAAAATAAATGATTTATTATAAAGTAACACAAACTATATACATAAAAAAAAACACTTAATACACTGCTGAAGTTTCAACTTTATTTAAAAAAAGAATATCACAGTAAACATCTCACAACCCTGAAAGTATATCTCTTTTTTTTTTTTTTTTTTTTAATTTATTAAAGAAAACTTCAAGTGCATATAGTATAAAAAATAATCATTTAATAAGTAACATTTAATCTATTCCTTCCTATAGAAGGAAAATTCAACAAAATTTTAGATTCAGTTAAATTATCCCAACAATCACCATTTTAAAAACTGACTTAACACTAATTTAAATCTTCTTTATACTTCACTAGTTGAATAAATTCGAACAAGATTGTCAACCGATGCAGGCAAATGAGTTAAGGGGCACCTTCCTTTCTTATCCAAATAATCTTTGATACATATATAACAGAATACATATCCAGAAGTGAAGAGAACAACTTCATTTTTCCTTCTGTTGTGGCATATTGGACAGATATCACTTCCATTATTCAAATGAGGAGGATTAGGAATTGGCAAATTTGTTATCTTTCTTGACTCATCGGAATTCCACCAATTGAGGAACTGGATGAAAAAAGCACCGATCTCTAATGATGCTCCAATTAATTTGAATAGAAATGATAGTCTTAACTTAGGACTATCTGACTTATTTAAAAATACAGCTCTTAACATATCACGCCAACTAGGAAGGTGTCTCTCTTGGTAAACCAGTTCAACGCCAGATAATTTTAAAAGTGGATCATGTACTTTAGTTTTCTCCGAAAGGTATGAGATTAAAAAATAAACTCTGGATATTCCATAAATAATACCAATACTGTTCTGCAACTTAAAAATTACATTAGCTATCTGCTGTCTTTTAGAATCTACTTGTAAATTTCTATCATCATAATCCCTTCTATAATCTTGCAATTTTCTGTTTAAGTACGGAATGAAAACTAAGAAGAAAACAGAAGAGCAAATCACATTTGCAGGAAGTTTTTGCTTTGATTTTTTATTCAGTGAAAAAATAGGAATCCGCTTTAATCCATAGAATGCTTCAGAAAATGATGAATGAAATAATTTTAAATAATAATACTGTAACATTAAATTTGTACCAACAAATACTTCATCATACCATTTTTCTAGCCAATTTAGACTTCTATTTTTACTTGCTATATAGGAGCACAATGCTTTGATAGCTGGATATACACTTTCCATAAAAGATTCTTGTGCGATAAGTTCCAGAATGTTAGGTTTCTGGTGTTGTATGGATGAAATATTAGCTGCATGTTCTGCCATTTCAAATCAAATATTAAATGTCAATATTGTAGCCTCTTCACCTCAACTTAACAACAGGAGCATCAGAAAAAACTTTTCTTGTTCAGCATAACAATTGATCACTTTTCAAATAGTGATTAAAATAAAAACTTATCCCAAAATTTGGAAAAGTACAAGAATTTATAAACGTGCACATAGTGGATATATCACCATAATTTTACTCAACTTTATCGATAATTGACTAAAAATCACAACTCATCTTAACACAATCCTTATCAGGTGCCTTTTTTTATTATAACCTTCCCTTCGTTAGTAGCCGGTTTCTTGACCGTTAATGGAAGTTCCTCACTCAATGCTTAGCTCATCGAATAAATCGAAATGTTAATGTAATATATAATAAGCTTTAATATAATTATTTATTTATCGCGATATAGGTCAGCCAAGGACTATGGATGTATCATTTCTTGGGTTTCCTTTTTTCCCACAACCTCCTCAGTGATTAGACAGATAAATTCGCTGAAAAAAATATCTGAGAAAACTGGACTTAAAATCTCCTTTCAGAAGACTAAATTTATGACCACAAACCCCAACTTTAGGAAGACAGAAATAAAAACAGAATTTGGTAAAATCAAGGTGGTTAAAAGCTTTAAATACCTGGGCGAAATAATCAGCAGAAATTTATCGGAGAAAGAAAGCACGAATATAGAATAAAACATTTGGAGAAATTATGCTACTTAACGTGTAGCATTTATAATAAAAAATGCCTCTCCAAAAAGTCGAAAATCAGGCACTACAATACAGTTGTAAAGCCAGTGATACTGTATGGAACGGAGACAATGTTCTTTCCCAGTTTGGAGAAACTGCTGAAAATAGAAGGATTCTTAGAAGAATCCATGGGCCCAAAATAACACCAGAAAGATACAGACTGAAATCCAATAAGGAGATTTACAGTGAAACCTCTGATTTGGAAACGGAAATGAGGGTGAGAAGACTTAGGTTTTATGGACACATGCAAAGGATGACCGAGGAGAGGTTAAACAAGAAGATTTTCAGTAGGGTTATGAGATACAAGATTAACCATGGATATATGGTAAAAATAAAACAGGAAATACAGAGTCTTGGGATAACACGAGAATTATGTGAGGATAGGACAGAATACAAGAAATTCCTGAAAAGTGCGGTGCATGTGGTGGACAGTAAGGAACTTCCCTCCAGGAGGAAGTGGACGGAGTAGAGGAAGAAAAAATTTAACGATATCCTCAAGCAGAGATGGGCAGAAAGGAAGAAATTGAAAAAAGAAACCAGTATCATAGTCGCGTAGTCCTTCAGGGCTGTTTCGCGTCAAATAATAAATAATATATATATATATATTAATGAAGTATGTATGGTTTAGAGTTCAAAAGATTTCAATTTACACAAAACTAAATCCACACAGATAATAAAGCTCCCCAAAACACTATCTTCCATATTGTAATTTTGTTAACATCCATTTAGTTCTCTTTAAGTGCATTAAAATAATTATTCTCAATAAATGACTCAAATTCTTCTTTGATTGGCTCTGTAATTTGATTCAGCTTAGAGCTCGGTCCTCAGACCACCCAATCATACCCGTAGCCAATTTTCGCATCTGATTAACTGAATTTCCTTTTTAACGTCCAAATCTTTCCTAGTAATCTTCTTTCACCAATGAAAATATGTCTGCCCACAGGTTTTTTTTCTGCTAGGCTCTACTTCATAAATCTTTTAACTCTAATGTCATCAAGTATTTAAAACAAATATTCAAACCATCGTAGTTTTATAGCAGGAGTTTTTGCTTTTTCTAAGATGCGTAATAATGAAAAGGTGACAGATTCTGTGGAAAAATCCATATTAGGTAACGCTGACTTTAATGGCTTTTAATTTCGCCTATATACATGAGTCAGTAAAGAATAATGCTACAGATGACTTTCACATGACACATCTTGATGCAGAGATGGGCAAATGCTACTCTTAGTATTGAGTACGAAGTATTTGACTGAAATACCGATATTTTTTTAGTACCAAAATTACATTTACTGTAGTATGTTCCATATATGGAAATTTGGAGAAATATATTTCCTCCTTGGTATCGTGGTTTGAAAGTTCCTCCAAATTGAAACATCAATAAAAATATGGTTACCTCCAAAAACACATAACCGTCAAATAAGCCCTCAAAAATATTGAAGGCACAACTTGCGCCATGCAACCCCCTACTGGGTAATAACGGAAATACATGTTTTGAGGTCCCCTGAATCGAAATGGCCAAGGCTGTGTGTATCTCTGTGTGATAACAGTCTAGCTCAAAATCGAAAAGTCGTATGAAAGTGAAATTGCATATTTAAGGTTTTTATAAACTCGCGATGTTATAGCAGCTTTTTCGTCAAAATCGAATAACCGGAAGTGGCACTTTATATCATGGACTAAACACATTTTTACGATTTTCTCGAAAATGGCTTTAAGGATTTTGATTAAATTCATTATATCAGTGTAAAACTAAACCGTTTTAAATAAAATGTAGGTTTTAATCTGATTGGTGTTCTCTAGTAGGGCTTAAATGGCTAATTTTCAATATTAGCTTTCCCTAAAATACCTTTAATTTTTTTTATTTGAAACAATTGACCATTTCACATTAATCTATAATATAAAAGATAGTTAAATATTGAATATGAAAGAATTTGATAATTAAGTAAAGGAGAAATAAGAAATCGTAACAGAGAATAGTTGTAATTCAGGAAACAAAGGAATACGAGCGTACCCGAGCTCGCCCGGAAGATTAGAACATGCTTCCATACGTAACATGAGCTTATATTAAATAAATATTAAAATTTTTATATATAAGTGTACTTATAGAAATAAAAATACCCACAATAAGATGTAAATAAATAGCATTTATTATTTTTACTTTCACTTCCCCTTTTTCTGAAAATACTCATTTCTGATAAGAGGGTGGTAAGTGAAAGTTGTGTGATGCGCGCACCGCACCAGATTTTTACATCACGCTATATTGTCTACCAATATCATATTCTGTCGTAGTAATTTTCTGATGTTACAGAACTTAAAGTCTAGGGAAATGAACGACTTATCAAACGCAACAGGAATAATTCAAATCGGAAAGGCAGTTACTGAAATTAGATCATTCAAACAAACGAACGTTTTTACTTTATATATATATTAGTATAGCCGTCAACACAGGGGGATATACGGAGGAGGGCTTTTGGGCTGAAGCCCTCCCTCAAAATAGTATATTATGGAAACAATTATCTCTAAAAGTATTATTGTTTATCTAATTATATTTAATAGGACTTCAAGAATCACTTAAACACCATTTCACATAGGTAGTTAGTTTCTTTCTTTTTCTTCCAAAGTAACTATCGTAATAAATATAAAAGATTTCAGAATGAAGACCCCAAAATTAAATCTTTTATCCGCTAATTATTCTGACTTGTAAAATCATGCTTTGATTGAAATAATTTTCACAGTATCCAAAGCCGGTACTGGGTGGGGCAAAGGAGATACGACTAGAACTAAATCGTATTTTAAAGATAAAATAAAAATATTCATTTCTTCTTTTTGTATTCATATAAATAAATAAAATTAATTAATTCCCTACGATATTAAAGTTTATTTAAAGAATATATTAGCAAAAATACTTTTGACTTTTATTGTGGAGAAAGTTAAAGTAAGGATGGCAAAATTAAGCTTCCTGGCTCAAGCTATTATCTGAGTTGTGATCCTAGTATTATTATTGTAAACATATAACTTTTCATGTCCAGTCTTTTCATGTCTCTCAAACCATGTGTGAACAAGAACCGACGCAACACTGTAAGCAGGAGCCGGAATATCGAATGTTACGTTCACTTTTATCTAGTACAGGAGCTAGTCTTAGAAAGTACGCCAAAATGTCAGAAAAATCTGCTGTAGTACTCCTTGCTAATGGTTCTGAGGAAATGGAATTCACAATTTCAGTGGACGTGCTTCGAAGAGCCGGAGTAAGGGATTAGTTATCATGTTGGATGAAATTGATTCATGATTCGTTCAAAGGTATTTTATTATATTTTATGTTCATTTCAGGTTAAAGTAACAGTTGCAGGCGTTGGTTGCGATGGGTCTGCTAAATGTAGCAGAGGTGTAGTTATTCACCCAGACATGAGCCTCACAGAAGCAGTTAAGAAGGGGCCTTATGATGCTGTTGTTTTACCAGGAGGGCTAGATGGTTCAAATGCTTTTGCTACTGTGAGTTTTTATTTTTTTTATAACTTGATATTAAGTGATTGTTGGATTGCGGTAATAGTTTACAAGTGTCGTGCTTAGTGGATAGGATTTAAGATAATATTGTGATAGTAGTAAAGTATTGACAATGTTTATGGCAAATTTATCTGTGCTAACCCCCTCTCGCTTTGAGCGAGGGATATCTTAACTCAATGGGCTCTGGCCAATGGATACGGATTCATTTCATCATGGACTACCTTTCCTGATTCAATATTAGGGTAGGTCATGTGATTGGTTACCATCCATAGTTTTGTTCATGCTGCTCTTTTTACAGAATGGTTAATATGACTTTGACCCCTTTCTTTCCCACTAGGCATTGCACTAGTGAACCAGCACATATTTCTCACGACACCTGTTTATATATGTTCAAATTCTGATCCTCACTGTCTGTATAAATACCATTATTAAAGAACTTAATTCTTGTTTAAGAAAGGCGGTCCAAGATCACATTGATCATACCTTAGATTAAATTTTGAAAGTAAAAGAATGGTAACCTTTGTTCTAGTATGGGTTTACTACGGTCATTTTTTAGGTATTAGTAAACCTACAACTGGTTCTTTTCATTATTGCTCTTCGAATACTTTTGGATATACTTGTTTATTTTCAGGATTTAAAGTACAGAGTATGGAAACAGGATAGCTCAGGGAATAAAGCACTGTCATATTCTCCATTGTGCAGGTTTTTAGCCCAGCTGTGGTAGATGACTAGTTATTCTATTGTATCAGCTGTAGGTAGACTTTGGGGCACATATAACCTCCATTAAGTGAAGGCTATTAATTATAAAGGGAAAAACCTGAGGTTTCAACCTGATCCAGTTGAAATAACCCTGCACAACCGATGCCCTAGAAATAATATTTCCTTTCTCAGTACAGAACCCTTGACCACTTCATTGGTTGTAGTGGAACAAGCTTTTGAAAAAATATCTATAGAGTGATTGAAGTGATCTTGCTCCTCACAATAAGACATCAGATTTGTTTTAAGTTTTAAAGATGGATCAGCACCATTTAACTCGAGATTATTAAGGTGATAACAACACATTTCAAAATGTGTTTCAATGTTGATATAAAGTGGCACTTCCGGTTAGCCGATTTTAAGGAAAAAGTTGCCGTCACATCCAAGGCATATACCTATCTTAAATACGTAATATCAGTTTCGTAGGACTTTTTGAGCTAGACTGCTAACATACAGACACACAGACCATTTTTCGGGACTTGGTCATTTCGACTCAGGGTACTTCAAAATGTCTATTTCCGTTGAAAACTCAGATTCAAAAATTTTCTCGATCGCAATACTTACCCTTACTATATATTACATATATACTTAAGTGAAAGTAAAAATGTGGCACTGAAAAAACACAGAATTTCCTGGAAATTGAGTAATTTTCTATATATAAACTTTTTGTAGTTCCTGAGGTCTACTATCACTCCTTTAAATATTTGCCTCTACTTGCGGGACAACCTTTATAAGAAGTACCCATATCCTATGTTTTAGATTAGTTAATCTTTAGCTCTCTTTTTCACTTTTTTAATTATTATTTTTTACATAGTCTGCAGAAGTTGGAAATCTATTAAAGGACCAAGAAAAAGAGGGTAGATTAATTGCAGCTATATGTGCAGGTAATTTTACTTAATGTTATGATTTGTTTTTAAATTAAATTATGTATTATATATAATTAAATCAAATATTTTAGCTCCATTGGCCCTGAAAGATCATCACATTGGATTCGGGAAGAAAGTTACATGCTATCCTTCTGTTAAAGATTCTTTGCAGGATAATTACACCTACAGCAGTGATACAAATGTAGTACAGGATGGTAAGAGGCTTCATTTTGAATTATATCTATCTAAAAAATAACATTAACAACAAACATTGTATATTAAGGCAGTGGATGAACTGGATTTGCTGGAGTGAAGAGCCACACTCCATTGTTTCATTTTTCAGTGATAAGACACGAATTACTGATTAGACTAATGAACAGCTGCTTAAGATTTGTAATTGGAGGCCCCAAGATGCTCCTATGTCTCTCACCACTACACTGAGTTAAGGTGGCTTTTCCCTTCCTTCCGAAGACAATATTTTCTAGGTATGTTCCTCTACCAAATCATCAACTATCATCGTCCTTCTTACGCCTACAACCTTCTCCAATTCAAATCCTGAATCCATTCTCTTTCCACAAGATCTCGACCTTCTAACCTTTACATGCCTTCTCACAGATCTGTCTTATTCCAAAACTCCTTTATTGCTCGCTCTGTCAATTTCTGGAATTCCCTCCCTATCAAAATTCGACATTCCCCCTCCATATCCACATTCAAAATCTTCCTATTCCAAACAGTCAGATTGTTGCTAACCATTCGACAACATACATATATTTCACGCCATTCATTGTCAAATATCAATGCTGTTCTTTGCTAGGGATGTTAATTTTCTTATAGGGTAAAGATTTTCCTACTCTTTATGTCACTGAACGCATCTATTGGTTGTTTATAACTATTATCTTTTACATATATATATATTTTTTTTTCTTTATTTTCTTAATAGTGTATACTGGTCTAACACTGCAAATAGCTTTAAGTGTCTTGTCATAGTGTTAATTGTTTTGTATATCGTTTCGTTTGTTTTCTATATAGAATGTTTACCTTATATTTTCTTTACATTATTTCTTTTTTTTCTATTGATTTTATTTAGGCCAGATGTAATCTTTTAATTTTGTTATCCTCAAGGGAATTAGTCCCAGAATAAATTTATTTTCTATCTAAAAAAAAAAAAAAATCCTACTTCTAGATCACTTTCAAAAATAATATTGAACTTATAATTATTTACTACAGTAATCAAGAAACTTAATCTCTGAATATTTCACTAACTCATAAAAGGGTGTAATAGGCATCAATTTTAGCTAGAATACCTAATTAATAATTCTTAATCATACACTACCATAATAAAATTTTGAAAAGTTAGTGAATATATACTATTAAATTGAATATTAAATTTAGAGATTGATCAAGTGAATTTTTTTTTACAATTCTGTTAAATCAATATGGAATACATTAAATCATTTCATGGGAAAAGAGCGTATTGTAGCCTGTGCCCTTTTTTTTATCCACATCCTCAATCAATTTTTTTTTTTTTATCGTATGACTTGTTCATAATAGTGAATATTAGCCTAATTTATCACCAGTGAATGATGTCTCTAGAATTAAATTTTTTTTTTAAAGTATATTTTCCAAGGTAGTGCTGTTAGGGGTAGTAAACATGTTTATAACCAACTAATAATTTAATCTAGTAGCATACAAAGGTTTATATTATACTTGTTGATAATCTTTCTTTGTATTGCGTAATAGACTAACATCTCTAGATACTCTTTGGAATTGAAATTTATTTATTAATTTTTTTAACTACGGTATTAAAATACGTAGTATTTTATCACTTACTACATGATTTTAATATATATATAAAATCAAAGTGTATTCAACAGCAAATTTTAAATAGGAAACAGAACAGATAGAAATTGATTATACTATCTTGCATCACACATATGAAAATCAGCCTTTTGATCTATATGGTTATTTCTTATCCATGTTGTTCTTAATAAAATTATAGGGTAACTTGTAATATTCTCAAGAAGTTGACCTAGTATAAAACACCAAGATATTTATTGTCTGCCAATCATTCCCTTTTCAAACCAGTATATATCAACCCTGATTTTCTCTTGGTTGAAAAAATAATAATACAAAAAAGGTATTGGAATCTAGAGGTGCAGGTTTCTAATAAAAGAAAAGAAAAAAAAATTGAAATTCTTATATTTCAAATAGCAAAATTTGAATACTCTATCTTTAAGCTAGATAAATATTACAATAACAAAATATATTTAATAATATAAAAATACAAATTGTATACAGAAAAATGTTGGCATATTTTTATTTATAATTCAAATAACAAAATCTATCTTTGTGTTTCTTTTTAATTAATATTTTATAATTTTAATAAAAATGGATTAAGAATATTATAACATAAATGGATTATAATACTGTGTTACTTATAAGTTACATTGAATATATAACACCCTTTAATTTAGGACACATGTTTTTGTATGGAATAGTCAGGATTTGGACGAATAAAACAATGATGGAAAAATAGAATTTGACATCATCGGAAATAGTAAATTTCCTAAGACTTATTCTTTAGATGTGTTAGGCATTTTGTAAATAAAAATAAAGAAAAACTCTGATAATAAAAAATAGTTAGCTACCATTTTTTGTGGCTCACTTGTAAGGCTAAAATTAATTCTTGGCACCCTTGCCTTAAAAAATCATAGTTATCTGTGAGGCAGTGATATGATATAACATAATCTTTACCGATTTCGATCCAGTATATTTAAACCTAACAAAATTTGCCTGAAGTAATCTCAAATTTGATTGATTATAATTTTAATTCTGTTCTTACTGTTACTGGTACTGGTACAGGTGGGGGGACTTAGTCCCGCAAGTGGGCCTATTGGTCCTTTTTGCCAAGTTTAATTCTGTTCTTAATAAATATACTTTTTTTTTGTATTTTTAGAATGTTTTATGTATTTTTCAATATATCTTCACCAAATTAATAATTTTGACATTAAATATTTTAATTAAATGTTATTGCCACTGCACCCAGTTTAAGAAACACTGTTCTAGACTCTGCCTGAGCACACAGTGAAGATTTCGAATCCTCATTGATGTCAACGAATGTTTTTAGTTGATATAATTAAACTTATGTTTTTACATGGCTTGATTTGTGTTCTTTTTAGAAAAAAAAGTTTTTAAAATATAAGTTCTGAGGAACTTTTTTTGTAATGAAGTGTTTCATGTTTATGGTAAAAGTTAAACTTGAATTTATTAAAGTTCTTCAAAAAAGTTCAGTTAAATGAAAAATAAACAGCAATTAGGCTTAAATTATAGTTATAATTTGTGTTAAACGAATTACGCATGATTCTAATGTGTCATTTGTTTGAGAAACTACGGATAAGTCATTTTTTAAATGGAATTTTTAGCTTAATTAACAAAATTTTTATATATAATTTTTTTTAAATGAAATTTCCATAAAACCTTTATATGAAAACTTGCCAGAGAAAAAGTTCTAGTTCCAAAAGAACTGAATGCTATCAACAAAAAAATTCTGGTGATACCGAAACTTTTTGAAAATAAATTATTTTTTTTCCTTTTCAAGCCCTGAACTTTTTTTTATATAACTTGAAATTGAATAAAGTAAAACTAGAGAACTGAATTTTCTAATGTACTTAATTTTATAGGAAACATTTTAACTAGCCAAGGACCTGGTACTGCCTTTGAATTTGCTCTAAGTGTAGCCAAAGAATTGGTCGGAGAAGAAGTAGTTCAAGAGGTTAAGAAAGGGCTTCTGTTGTAAGGATTAATAAAATGTTCATATTGTTTTGTAAACTGAGAGCTGTGTTATTACTTTTTCACTTTTAAAAAAAGTGTGTGGCCATTTTAAAAAAAAAAATATATATATAATTGTTTCAATTTTATTATTTAGTCAAGTGAAATTAATTATACCCAAATGGCCACAATTGTATTTTTGTGATATTAAATAAAAAAATAATAGTTAATAAATACTATGGCAGCAATAACTGTGTTGAATTTTTTATCCCATAGAAATAAATTTTGGCATTATAAATAGTTTATTATTGTGATCACATTTCCTTCTCTCTATATGAGAAACTTTGATCTGCGTTCCTGTAGAATGGATATTACTCTCAGGATTTTACTTAAGCATTCAAAATAAGAATTTTTGGAGATTGGTATAGAAAAACAAGAAAATTATAGTCTTAGTAAGTGAGAGAACTATAAACTAAAGTTCTTCTGTACCAAAGAGGTATTGAGAGAATTCAATAATAGATTATTATTGGGTCAAAGATTTTTTTCAGTCGGACAAGATAATCACTTATTAAAGATATTGTTTAACAATTTAACAATCGTGGTAAAGTATCAAGTATCACCGATTGTATGTGTTGAATAGACTATCTTCAGAGCCGGAATTAAATGGCACTCCTGTATAAATGTATTTATTTAATCAAATTTTATTTCATTTTAATTTGACTCTATAAGCTAAAATTAATTATTCTTCTAAGCTATGTAATTTCTTTAAAATTCCCATCAAATGGTTGGGGCCGGTGTTACCGCTAACTCTGTGACAAATCCTCGTATGCTCGCTCATTGAAAATTCGTACTATTGTAGGCTCAATGTTATTGTGTTTTTTTTTTTTTTAAGTCATATTAGATAGAGCTTTTCTTATTACCTCTATTAATAGATTTTAAAGACTTTTTACATTATAATTTTTTTTTTTTTTTTTTTTTTATGTTAATGGGTCAAGATATAATAAAATATAACTTTGATAAAAGTGCATATATTTTTAGAAACTATTGGAAAATTTTCTACAAAAATTAAAATAGCAAAATAACCTTTTTAAAGGATGTAATATTCCTATCGTTATTAAAAATAAAAATAAAACACATTCTTTTGACTTCACCCAAGTCCGAAACTATAGGTAACATATAATTGAAATTAATAAATATTAAATTTTTATTTTGCTTACTTAGATCTATTTAAATGAATTATGTAACAATCATAGTTTTATGAAGGAAATAATGGATATACTTCTTATATTTTTTTATACTAGACAAAAATTGAAAAAAAAAAATTAAAATGAAGTTAATAATTTATAAATGTTATAAAAATTTTTTTTTTAATTTGTTTTTTAGAAATTAAAAAACATATATATATATATATATATACATTCATGGTTTTATGAAGGAAATAATAATCATACTCTTATTAAAGTAGATATAATTGCAATTTATTTGTCTATAAAGCAACTAAAATTAAGAATTAAATATTAATATAAAAGTAAAAACAAATCTAAACTTCATTGAGAAAAATATAACTGTGCATACGTCAGCAAATACGAGGATCCTCGTACGAACACTGCTTAGCGCCCCGGGGCAAATGTCCGGCTGGTGCTTCTTTAAGGCCAGCTCTGGCTATCTTGTTAATGTTATATTGTATATACAAAGAAACATGTTTTGCTGATGTCATTACTATAAGTTTAATTTATTAAGAAAAAGGATAACCTAACATGAAAGTTCTCACTTAAGTATATTAGTTATTTTAAATTAAAACTAAGCAATAACTATATATATGAAAAAAAATTAAGTGCTAATATATATCAAGCTAAATAATATGTTAGAAATGCTAATATCAGGAACTACCATTTCAGTTTGAAAATTATTTTTGAATTAAATAGACTGTTTGCCGATTAAGGCTTTAAATTTTATGACATTACACTACGACCTATAGGAATGGAGCTACAACTTCGAAGTTCAACCTGTAGACAGTAACACCAGCATAGCTTCCAATTAACAAGAGATGGTTTAGGGGCAAATCTTAAGCATATCAGAGTCTACTTAAGTGAAGACTTTCTTTTTCACGGACCAATATAAGTTGTGTTATCTAGATTGGTTTGTAAATAAAAACAGTATATTGTCGGTCAGTAGCGGATCCAGTATTTAATTTTGGGGGCCTCATCCCGAAAGCTTTTATATGTATACTTATATAATGATTACTTTGGAAGAAAAAGAATGAAACTAACTACCTATATGAAATGGTATTTAAGTGATTCTTGATGTTCTATTGAAATGTACAGTAGAACTCCTGTTATATGATGGGTAGGGGGTTCACTGATAATCAACAACCCCGGATAATCGAATCACTACATTTTATCGACTTAATGTGATAGATTAGGTTGATTAAAAAAAAAAAAAAAGTACCGAAATTCACTTTAAATAACAAGTGAAAAGACATAAGAATGAATTTTTGCATATTTTAACATATGTATGGAATTTTCATTTGTAGAAAAAAATCAGTTTTAGTCTGTTTTTTATCAAACATTTCTTTTCCTTTCTGTTTTTGCATGAACCATTGATAGATGGCTTCATCTACATCTTTTAATCTAGAGTTCTTCATTGTTTTCCGGGGACATAATGTTTAGGCCGATGACAAAACAAAATCATAAATGTCTTTTTTCTTCAAAATATTACGAACAGTTTGCTCACCAATTCCTAATTCATTGGACAATTATTTAACACTCACCTTTTTCTCTCTCTTTTAATTTCTGTTCAAGCGTTAAAACGACACATTTCTTTTTTGCAAAATTTCGTTAGTTTGTATTTAAATGGAGACTAAACCATAACTGAGTAAATAATTTAGTTTTGTAGGGAAACAGGCCAATAGGAGTTTCATAGAAAGACTTGAAAACATTACGGTTCCTACAATATGAATTTGACTAGTAGTTACCGGAAATATTTCACTCATACGATAACAGCTTGCCATGTTTTTCCATTCATTGTTTTATTTTTTAATTTGTAAGAATAATACAGAATTAACTATGTAATAATAAATTATGTAATCGCTAAAAAAAAAATCTTACATATTAATTTTTTTAAATAAACATACATAAAAATAAATGGTGAAAAAGTAAAAAAAAAACATAATTATAAAATTGGGCCCTCGCATAATGGAGCCTACGATAATTACACAAAGAATAATACTATTAGAGATCATTTTTTGATATTTTTTCTTTCATACTGCATGGTTTAATTTTTCCATTTATGGGGGGCTTCAACCGAAAGCTCTCTCACCTCATTTCATCAGTTTATGGTAAAAAGTCATTAAGTGGCATTTCATAAATTCAAATAATTAAGAACTTTAATGAACTTTCCCTTTGTGAAATCAGAAAATTGTACAATTAGTCTAACTATGTATGGTTAATAAAACGGTTCCTGTCATTTTCATGCACTTACGGTGTTTTTATATAGATAAATAAGGTTGAAATTCACAAAGACATACTCTCAAGTTAATCTTATCAAAAATGCACTTATTGACTTTTTGCAATAAATCGACGATATATTTATATTGTAGAGAGAAGTTTTCATTAAATATCTTTAATAAAATTAATATTCAGTTCATCAGATGTACTTGATCATGAGGTAATCATGGTTATGGTTAAATATTATAAAAAAATCATTTATAATCTAAATTTAACATGGATCAAACCTAAGGACAGAGCTGATTACAAATTATGTATATTTATATTACATCATATTGTTACAGTATATATCATAGATGGGGAACCTGCAGTTTTTGAGCCACATGTGGTCTTCAGGAGCTAGCTGCAGCCATCCATCCAAACATTTTTGCACGATATTTATTAATCTAGCTCTTGAATTAATTAATATTTAATTATTTAGATTACAAAAACTTGAAAATTGATAAAATAAGTTAATTATCTGTATATGGGTGTGTGTCTTAAGCAATAAATACAGATAGCATCAGTAAAATATAAAAACACATTTGAAAGATATTAACCTATATTAAAAATGCACTTAGTGACTTTTTGTAATAAACCGACGATATATTATATATACATAAAATATATATATAAAAAACGGGTCAGTCAATATCTCATGACATGAAGGCAAGGAGGTTAAGATGGGTGGGGCATGTAGCTCATAGCAATCCATCAGGACGCCTTTACACAACAATGAATGCCAGATTAGTCGGCAAGAGACCACGTGGAAGACCAAAAACCATATGGATAGATAGGATATACAAAGATACGGCTGAGCTTCATGCCGCAAACTGGAAAGCAGTAGTCCAAGATAGGCAGAGGTGGAGAAGGCTGGTTTAGGCTGCTAAAGATTTACAAGGTCTGTAGAGCCAACCGGAAAAAAAAATATATATATTGTATGTATACAAATATATCATTGGCCGCTTACATTAAGGGATGAGCAGCGTCTTAAGGTTTTTGAAAATAAAGTATTGCGTAGAATATTCGGACCGATGAAGGATGAGTTAACCGGAGAGTTCAGACAGTTACACAACGCCGAATTGCATGAACTGTATCCGGGTAATATAATTGAGGTAATATCGTCGCAGCGAATCAAATGGGCTTTTAAAGTTGTTGGGCTTAGTAACGAGAGAATTCCTAAAAGATTAATATTTGCTGTGCCGAATGGTAAGCGTTCGAGGCGTAGACCGAAGCAAAGGTGGGAAGATTGCATTAAAGCTGATCTGAAGGGACTGGGTTTGGACGGCGAACGGTGGAGAGAGGTGTGTAATAAGCGATTGGTGGTGTCGGCATCGAACCTTCGGGTTCGCTAAGCCTTTTATTATTATTATTATTATATAATATATCGATATATATATATATTGTAATGTCAACATTACATGGTATATAAATAGTGGCGCGAAAGTGGCAAGAACATGAACTACAGGAAAGAAGTGGGGGAAGCAAGCTCATGTGAGAGAGACTGCGACGGGCCGCCAAGAGGGAAGGAGCTAGCGGCCAAGAGAGAAGATCATGAGCCGTCAAGAGAAGAAGGAGACAAGCTGCCAAGGGGGAAGGTGCCAGCCAGCAAGTGGAGAAATTAGGAAAAGGAGTCTTAGCCGGTTCGAGTGTTGACAGAGGCCACTAGTGAAGATTATTTTATGTTGGAAGAAAGAATATAGCAGAAATTAATTAAGTGGTACAGAAACATTAAGTGGACAATCGTAAGTAAGAAGAGATTATTTCGCTGGCAGGCGTAAACATTTGGGTGAGTGCTAACAATGCCATTTATGTTGACAGAGGGATAGAACCAAAAGTTTAGACTGGGACAAATTATTTAATAAAATATTTTAAATTATAAATAAGTGTAGTAGTAATTAATGAATTAGTGTACATTGTCTTTATAAATAGGAATGAGTGTTCAGGTGTCAGAACCCAACCTGAGATTAATGTTATAAGTGTAAAATAAATAAGATATTAAAAAAGAAACTCGTTTGTTTTGATTTATTGTTGCTTTTGAAAACGTTACAACATATATATATATATATATATATATATATATATATATATATATATATATATATATATACCTATATACCTATATATATACCTATATATACCTATATACCTATATATACCTATATATATATATATATATATATATATATATATATATATATATATATATATATACCTTCTCCCTCTTAAAGGTATTGAAATCTCAAACTAAGGGTGTACAATGCTATGATAAAGTCAGACACCTGGACACTAACCAGCATCATAGAAAAAAGTGTTGAAAGATTTGAGTGCCTTCATCTGTTCATCAATCCTCCGCACGATAACCGGAGCGATCTGGGATCAGAGTACTAACACATGAAGAAGAAAGACCAACAAAGAACTGCTAACAGAAACTGGTCAATCAATATCCCATGATATGAAGGCACAGATGTTAAGATAGGCGGAACATGTAGCTCGTAGCAATCCATCTGGAAGCCTCTACGTAACAATGAATGCCAGATTAGTAGGCAAGAGACCACGTGGAAGGCCAAAAAGCGGACGAATAGATACAATCAACAGAGATGCATGCAGATAAATGGAAAGAAATAGCCAAAGACAAGCGAAGATGAAGCATGCTTGTTAAAGTAAAAGATCTACATAGTCTGTAATGCCAACAGAAAAAAACATACAATATTTTTTATGTGAATAGCCATCTGCAAAATATTTTTGTTATAAACAAATATCCACATGTCCAGATAATGGTTAACTTCACAAAGCTATTGGTCACAGCCTTAAAAGTCATCAGGATGGGATGTCTGGACTTTTGTTCATGGTGATGTTACAAAGATAATATTGTTTTCAAATCTGCCGAAAACTTCATCAATTAATAGAGGCAAAATAATCCTTGCATATTTAAAGTTTAAAAAGCTAAACCTAGTTGGTACATGATTCTAATAAAATAACGAATATACTCTTATTTACACACTGATACAACAGCATATGTTGACAGTACATATACATATCTATAAATATATATATATATGTATATGAGTGGTCTCATATCATATACGGACATCCATCATTTTCAGAAAGAAGAGAAAAAGACACTTTGTTTTATATGTTTTATCTAAGAATATTCAAGTTGATTCATGAAGAAAAAAAAAATCACTAGAATTGGTTTAAATTGAAGCTGTGTTATGAAAATTGGATGTCTCATGTTAATAAAAATGACAGATGCCCGTCTGATAATATGAGGCTAAGTAAATATATAAATGAATAACATTTTTAACTAGAGAGCTATAATAGAATATAAAAAAAGTTTTGATTAATTAAAAATATGGCCTCAATAATTTTTAAATATTTAAACTATAACAGTTTTATTACAGCGAATGTAATCTTCTATGATCCAGGATTACAAAATGGAACGAATCCCGGATATATGGTGGCAGATTTAGGTTTAGGCGGGATCTTATTAATTTTCATATAATTTAAAAACTGGTCAGGGATCTCAGCCAGAACTTCTCTAGCGAGGAGATCTCCCCATGGTATGGAACCTCCCACAAATTTTGAAAATGGAACAAACTGGACAATATCTCTAGTTGCTTTCTCTCCACCAGCTGTTAAAGCTACAGTGTCTCCATCTAGTTGCTCCATTGCACTAAAGTCAGCTGTTCCCACTCCAACAATAATTATAGACATTGGCAGTTTGGAAGCATTAACAATAGCCTAGAAAACAGAAAAAAATCGTACATTCTCTTAACTAATGAAAATGAAAAAATGTTATTATCAAACAGAATTAATATTTAGTTTACATAAAACATAAATGTGATTAACAACTGTTTTGAGCATTTGATCGATGTATATAATTTATAAATCACATATTCATGACTTTGTTTTAATCTAAATTACAGGTAATGTTTTACATGGAGTGTTAAGAAAAATTGTTTAAAACAAACTTAATTTCAAACTGTTTTGGTAATTTTTATATATGTTAATTATATTTAAGTCTAGTTTTCTGGTTTAATTGTACCACATCTTTTTTTTGTTATTAATCCTTTTGGGCCGTATGAATAATTGGCATAGTATATAGAAAAAACAGCTGTAACCATTTTGATTAAACTCGGTATACCAATGAACAATTAAATGATCTTTAATACCAGCTAGGTCTTATCCTTATAGATGGCTCCTAACAGGGCTCAAATGCACAATGTTCAAAATTTCTTCCTCTAAAGTACCTTTAATTTGGTTTATTTTAAATAATTAAATGCTTTTCATTATCAGTAGCAATAAAAAAAAAAAAAAAAAAGAAGGCTCAATATAAAATATGAAAGAATTTGATAATTAATAAAGGAGAAAAGGAGAAAATTGTCTTTTTATGTCGAAAATAAATTTCTGGAAATCATAGTCATAATGTATAGGTATAATATATTTTTGGAAAGCTGAAAATTTTAGGAAAAAGAATATGTAATTTAAAAAGTTGTAGAAGATAATGGTCGGTAACAAAAAAATTATAAATAATAATTTCAAAAAAATTAAAATTATTTAACAGAAACCAAATGTTTGCATGGAAACGAAATGAAATTTACTAACTAAATGTAAATTTTAAAAATTAATTTTAATTTTGAAAAAATAGTATAAATAATTCACTGAATCGAGACAATGAAATTATACAAAAACTATTTTATTGAACTTGCTTTAAGAATTGGACAATGCCTAGATCAAGAGTGATGAATAGTTTTAACTATTTAATGGTTAGGCTCTTTACAATGTATAAATTCATGCAAACTAATTATATGATTATACACATTTAGTATGCACACAAATTAACTTTTCCTCGGATTGGTAGTTTGGAGAAGTGATGAATTTGATTTTAATGCAATTATATCTATATGAGAAAATAAATTGAGACATTAATAGTATGTTTTTCAACAATCAAAATAATAAAAAGCTTTAAATAATACCTTACAAGTCTGCGGCATGTCAGTTATAATCCCATCAGTTATGATCAGCAGTATGAAATAACTTGATCCATCTGTATAAGACGAAGCGAATTTCGCAACATGATTTATAACTGATGCAAAATTTGTTGGCCCATATAATTGAGCTGTTCCAGAAATGACTAGGCTGCAAACAATAAATTATTTTAAAACTATGCCCAAGAAAAGTTTTAACCCTTGCCCACATGATGCCACACAAGAAAAAGCTGTTTTAGAGTTAGTTCACGAGTACCAATTAGCCACGTGAGAACAGGAGTGCCCATCCCCCGCCCCAAGGTTGATGGCGCATGATCCTCTCCCCTATACATGTCATATATAATTATACTTTCAGTTGTCTGTACTATGCTTTTCTCTTGTCCACTGGTCTGAAACTTTTCAGTCTGAAAATTCACAACCCCGTCGAAATGTGCCTCCTCAAAAATTCAAAATTCCTTCAAAATGTGCTCCCCTCAAAAATTTTAATGGCGCAACTTGCGCACTGAAACTCCTTTGTGGGCATCCCAGCATGAGACACGGTGCAGTGCATCTCATAGTGAGCTGAGATGATAAAATCATTGAAATAAATATAAAAATTAAGATTTATTTATTTATAACACTTCATTTAAGTAATGATCATGTAAATGCAATGACAATAAATAGTAACAATAATAAACCACATTTTTAAAGGCTTTTAATCCCTTGAAATATTAATAACATATAAGATGTTGTTTAGTCTCATTTCTTGCAAAATTTTTCTAGAAACAGAAAAAAAACAACAAACTGATCTAAACAGCAATAAAGGTTCAATAACTGAAATTTTCAGAAAGTTTCTTCAGATTTTATTTTTACTTTTCCAGATTTTATTTTCAAAGTAACATTTTCATCCAATTTATTTTATCTTTCACTCTCTTAGCAATAGAAGCATTTTATAGCAAAATTAGGCAATGTTCCTTTTTCTGCAATGGGTATTAATACCATAATTTCCTCTTAATGATCTATTATATATTGTGTTGGCAAATAATTCCTTTTGGTTTTTCTGTTTCTGTTCTGGCACTATGATATACTTCTTATCTGATGAATTAATCTCTAAGGTGGATTGTTTATCCTTTTTGTAATATTTCAACAGTTAACTCTTGTTGAAACTAGCTTAGTATTAAGTTTGCTATTGCACTGTGAATATGGGAGAAAATATCATTCATTGTCTGCATATTTTCTTGTATTATTTTAAAAAAGGTAAGCGTACCGCAGAAGCTCATAGAAAAATTTACAGTGTTTATGGGGATGATGCTTTAACCGAATGCACCTGTCAAAATTGGTTTGCCAAATTTCATTCAGGAAATTTTGACATCAATGATGCTCAACGGTCTGGTCACCCACATGAAATTGAAACAAGCAATGTTAAGGCCATCGTTGATCAAAATTCCACCCAATCAGTGCGAGAGATTGCTATGGCCCTAAATGTGTCGCACACAAGCGTAGCAAACCATTTGCACAAACTTGGCAATGTTTCCAGGCTTGATGTTTGGGTCCTTCACATGATCTTTTTTCAAAAATCATAAAAATGTTATAACTGCAGTACAACTTTAGCTATCTACAAGAAATTTAGCAGGAATTTAGGGCCACATAAACTACATAAAATGCTATCAACAGGACCTTCGTAAAAAAACTAAAAATGGAGATAAAAAATAAAAACCTATAATGACTTTTTGTTTAGTTATTCCTTATGTATGTATTAAATAAAAAAACAATTTATGCGGCTTTGAAGAGCGATAATTCAGCTTTCCAATGGATGTAGTAACATTGAATTTGGAGAACATCCTGAAGAGTTATGAATGATCGGAAGGGTGTTGTGTTCCACCAAGGCAATGCTAGGCCCAACACCTCATTGGTCACTCGCAATAAATTATTGAGCCTTGGATGGTACGTTTTGCCCCCTCCTTCCTATTTACCAGACCTAGCTTCAAGTTACTACCACTTATTCCGGTCTCTGCAGAACTCTATAAATGGAAAGAAATTCCAAAAGGAAGAGGACATCGAAAACCACTTTGTTCAGTTTTTGAACAATAAACTCCAGACATTCTATGAATACGGCATTATGCAATTAGTGGAAAGATGGGGAAAAGTCATATTAAATAATGGTCAATATATTGTAAATTAAAATAAATTTTATGTCTATAATTCATTGAATTTTATTTCACCCTGAAAAACTGAAAGGACTTATTTGCCAACCCAATAGTAGATACATCCAAATAGTTGACAAAAAAGTAAGCTCATGCTACAAAAATCTCCAACAGATATTTTGGCACTCTGATGGACTTATTCATGACAGAAATAAAACTTTCAAGCTAAGAAAAACTAGAAAAGAGTTTAAGAACAATAATTGTAAATGATGGCAGAGATGGGCAAATGCACCTTTGAGTACTGAGTAGCAAGTATTTTACTCAAATTGAATCACTATTGGAAATTCAATCACTACGTCAGTTAATTGCTTGACATCAACTGAAGTAGTAATTAAATTCTTTGGTACTCAAAAAAGATCAGTATTTGAGTAAAATAATTGGTACTCAGTACTCAGAGTAGCATTTGCCCATCTCTGAATGATGGCTGCTTATAATATAATGTTTTCAATGATATAATGATGGAGATATTCTTGGGCATAGATCAAGTAGTATAAATTGGTTGAGGTGTGGTCACACTGTACCAAAGTTCCAGCCTATGTTTTAGGCTTTCATCAGAGCTACAAATGGCAGCTGTAATATTTAAAGTATTTAAAATGTAGACTGTACAATTACCTGATGAAATTTCTGTATGCTTGTAAAACTCCATTAACCCTATCACAATATGGAGTAGCTGGATTCATATTGACAAAAAATTCATGCGACACCTGACCTCCTGGTAACTGTGCGCCAAAACCCAATACTGGAAATTGTTTGTCAGAATCATAATTTTCAATAATGGCACCCACCGACATGATGGCCTGTTCATACAAGTTCATGCTTGTTTCACTAATATGATGCAATGATTCTCGATTACGAGGGTCACCATTTGAACCTGAGCAAAAACAATATAAATACTTTTTTTAATAGAACGAAATAACAAATCTACAACCATTTTATGTAGTCAATGGTATTCCAGAAAAGAATTATTCATAGGTGACATTATGCTTTATTATTAATATTATTTACTACTGGAAAATAGTGAGTAATTTAAATAAACTATTTGGGGAAACCCAATTGACATGGAAAAAAAACTACCTCATAAACTCTATCACACTTCCAAAACACTAAATAGGTGAGTCAGTGATATTGCTAAACTACAGTTAATTTATAATATTAATCATGCCATATAAAACTATGTAAACCAAGAGTATGATTCATAATAAAACTGTTTTTATTTTAAATATTTTTTAAAGCAATGGCTTTTAAAATACTAAAACAAATCTAAATAAAGAAAAAGTGCAAATGCAAATGCTTTCTAAAGTTAAAAAAGGTGAATTATTAGTCAAATGTATAATTTTTATCAACTGAGATATTAGAGTGACTACCATATCAATTTGAATAAGATAAATACAGTGGACTCTGCTTTATTTGGACATAACATTGTCAATCAAGACAACCCAAACATTAGATTTTTCCAATTTTCTAATAATTAAATTTTTCCAACAACTACATTTAATTTAAAATGCTAAATTTAAGAGCAGGAGCAGCCCAGTGTAAAAAATAATATTGTATCTAGTTAAATAGATATTGTGCTGCTATCTGTGTCTATTTTACTTACCTTAATTTTTTAAATATAAAATAATTACTTCTGTTGTCTGTTAACAGATATTATTTTAAATATTATATCTACTCCAGAAAATCTTCCTTTTTATTTATTTTTCACATCTTTACTTAACTCATTATAAAATTTAAATAACTTATAAATTAAAATAAACTTTGTTTCAATATTTTTAAACAATGAAAAATAATTAAATTGAAACAAACTAAATAACCACTTGAAACTTTAAAATATTATGCAGATGTTTGTGAGTTAAAAGAATATGATGGCCATTTAGTTGGGTGACGGACTTCATTTTATGATAACACCTTGTGGATAAGTGCATATTTCTAATTGTATAAATTGTCTATTAATATATTTTTTAACCATTCATAAAACAAATTCTAGATGGCCAATTTGAAAATTAAATATGCCCCTATAAATCTAAAAGGGTACTGAAGGCAACTGCCATTTATGGAAATTGAAAAAGTCTAACCTCACCATGCAAAAGCCTCTGGAATAGGAAGAGATAGAGAGCATTCTTTCAAAAGTACTGCCCATCTTTGGGGAAAGAGCGTAACCTCCTTCCCGAAGGACCATCTACATTGAGACTATTAACGTTTTTTGAGAGTTAGGGGAAGGTTTTAATATAAACTAATCAGACAGTACTCTACTCAGGATCTAGATGTCTTTACAAAGGGGGTGGGATGGCCGAACAGGCAAACGTGTTTGCACAGCACTGAGCCTTAGCTTGCAACCTGAAAACCCAAGTTGGTGGAGTTAATAAAATTATGAGTTCGCGTCCTGGTGCCTTGAGGGTCTTTTAAATTACATTATGGTGGGACATTGGTTGCAGTTTAAATGAACTGGAGTCATTGCATGTCCTTTTTACTCTTTGTCTAGAAGAGGGTATGAATGCTTCCTTTCGCACAACTGTTCATCTCAGCAGGAATCATCAGGGCATAATTATTCATTGGACTATAATTATTCACAAACAGAAAAATTGTATTAGATCTTCTCACGATAACCAGAGCAATCTGGTTTCAGAGTATTAACCGATGGAGAAGAAGACCAATAAGAAATGCTTACAGAACAATCAATATCTCATGATTAGGCAAGAAGATTAAGATGAGCAAAGTATGTAGTTTGGAACAATCCATCAGGAAGCCTCTACACAATGAATGTGTTAATAGTAGACAAGAGACATGGAAGACCGAAAATGAGATAGATAGATCAAATCAACAAAGATGCTGCAAGCAATAAACCAAGATAGGTAGAGATGGAGAAGGCTGGTTAAAATGACAAAAGATTGCTGTGTAAAGCCAACAGAAAAAACAAAAAAAGGACCATTTTTTATTCATTCTAACATAAATAGTTTATAAAATATATGAATATTATTTAAATTTCTAAATAATAACTCTATAATTACATTGTTGGGATAAATTGGTTCTAACCAAGCAGAGCCGACTGTTTATGACATGCTATGATGGGATTCCTTCAATACAACTACTACAGTCAAAATACTTATCATAAAACATAAAATTATGAGATTAAAAACCTGCGAGGAGCAGTCATCAGATATATTAAAGTGAACAATTACTGTTTTGTTCAACTAGTAGTAGTGATGGTAGACTTGATTTTATTAACAATTAAGTTAAAAAAAACTATTAATACTAAATTTCTTGCCTGAAATTTATAAAAGAGTAAATTAATGATATAACCATAATTATATTGAAATATTCTATGAAGTACTTATAAATTGATATATTATAATATTTAAATTTATATTGGATATAATCTTAGGTACAAAAAAAAAATATGCAATTAAGAGATATATTCCACTGGCACAAAATTGTTTATAAAGTATACTTGTTAAGTGGCTCGGACACTATCCTTAATAATCTACAAATCTCTTATATACTTTTTAGAAGTAAACAAATAGGTCAAGATATATTTATACTTAAGGTGAAGGGACGTAATTTACTATGATTCCTTGAGACTCTAATCATCAATTTAACTTCATTTTCATGATGTTTTGGCTATTAAGCAACCTCAAGACAATCTTCTAAAACGGATCTAACTTAATTAATTATTTTGTGAAATACAGTCAATAATTTAAAATAAAATTTTATTTATTTAAATATAGAATCAACTGAAGATGACCTGACAACCAAAATATCATGAAAATAAAGTTAGTTTCTAAAAGTATACATACTTATATTTTTTACTGAGCTCATTTCATGAATTAAATTAAACTCATTTTACTTTTAAAATATAAGAAAAGTGGTTTTAAAATATAAGAATTGAGCAAATAAGGAAAGCTTCAATCTATTTTCACAAAAAAAAATCTGGTCCACTCACATGACTTTCCTTCCTACCTATTTCATAAAAGTTTTTATATCTTTAAATATGTCCATTAAGAAACAAAAATTATTAGATTTATTTCCCTGAAAATTGATCAAAGAAAAGATTTGAATACGATTTGATAAACTAAAGCAAAGTAGGCTTGTGATAGATCAGTGTACAAATTTTAACACCCTCTAATATTGCTAATCAAAAACTTTTTGCCATATCCTTATTGTGTCAAACAATTATTTCTGTTAAAAGTAGAGGAAATAGTGAAGCTTGTGTGATGCGGACAACAGATTTTCTTATTTTCATTTAGTTTTCTTTTTTCTTTCTCATTCACCCCTTTCTGACACCAGGATATCAAATTGTAATCTTACATACGACATTGAATAGCTGTAACTACGTTAATAGTTATTCGAAATGAACGATTTGTAAATAGTTTTCAAGGGAATTTCGTTACCTTTCAAAAAAACAGGCTAAATAGTATTTGGGTGCAAAGAGCACTCAATTTGTGTCACAGACATCAGTAGTCAAAACTAAAAAAAAAAATAAAATAAAAAATCGGTTCACTAGTTCCCGAGAAAATCTTGGCACAGTCAGACTGATGGCTAAAAATGTGGTTTTTGGACTCAGAGGGCTCTGAAACTTATAGATGTGTCAAAAACCGGACATAGGAAATTTGACTCAATCGCAATACTTTCCTTATCTAGTATAGGTAGGAAAGTAAAAAAACATTGACCAAATAATAGTACAAATTTTCAAGAGGGAAGTGTACAAGGTTTAAGATTTGTCACTGATGAATGGACCATTAGTGTTAGCTTCAAACAGTAGAATATATCTCTAAAATGGCCTGTTTTTTAAAAATATATATAATACTAAACATGTATTCTTATATGTTTTTAATTTTTATAAACCACCCAAAACATTTACATTTTTAGAAATAGTTAATAACCATTTTTATATTTAAAAATACTATGATATAAATGATAATAGTATTCTACCTGTGAAGTCAATAGCAAATGTACAAAACAGTTGCGTTCCTCCCATTATATAGTCCACAAAAGTGTTAATCGGTTTCAAAATACACTTCTCAAAAATTATATCCCCAGAGCCTTTATATCCACTTTTATTCTGTTATAAAAACATTATTAAGAAAAGATTATAAGAAAACTATATAATTAAAAATCAATTTCAAGTTTACCTGCTTCTTAGATTTCATTAATTTAAAACTGGAAGGTGATTTTTCCATAATAGTTTTCAAATCTGTAGAAAACTCTCCAATCAATATATGATCTCCACTGCTATTCCAATCATAACAGATGAACTTTAGAGTTCGAAAATGGTCACCATTACATAACTTGCGAGCAGGAATGGAAAACTCTAACCAGTCAGGATCGAGAGTATTTTTTATAGTCTACTAAGAAAAGAAGTTTATTTAAAAGTGTTTATAAAAAATAATATATCAAAATTATATAGTACCAAATGTTGACATTCAAGTAAATAGAGTTCAGGCTTTGAAATCAGTGAAGCTGATAACCAAGTAATCTCTTGATTCAAAGATTCAATTAACTGAGTTAATGCTTTATTTAATATTTTAAATCGCAGATCACAATGAAAAGAGCTATTTGAACCATTTTATAATTAGATTACCAATACCTAGAAAGGGTAGCCTCACGAAAGAAAACTACTCCATATTTTAATGCTGCCTCTCTTTATATTTGAAATTAGATTTATAGTAAACAAGTAGTGTCATCCCATTGGTGGATTGATAGCTGCTGATTGGCATTTCAGTCATTTAAAGGTATAAATCTTCCACTCTAACAGCTTTTGAGAAGAGGACGAAAGCCGTGACTTGGAACCTGGACCACGAAAGTGTGGTTTTGGAATTCCATGCAAGACTTTTCAGAATTGGGTCTGCCAAAGAAGACTATGAACCTGATTACCTCGGGAGTTCAAATCAAAATTATTATGGATGGCGTAAATTGTTATCCCGCTAAAATGCTTGTTAATACTAAGAATTTATATAAGGAAGACTGCAGCTTGTTTATCTGACTTCGATTTTCACTTGCAATGTTGGAATTTATAACAGACCACTAATTTATTAAATAAATAAAATAAAATAAAAAGTTTAAATTTGGTATTACCTGAACTACTTTAGACTTAATCCCAGTTGTGATTACAGGGGAAGTGTTATAAAAATTTGCCATGAACCAAACATTGAAATTTATGAGAAGAAAATATATATATATTTAAAATATTAGTGATGCAGCAAGAAATTGTTGGAATCTCTGGTTAGCATTTGAACAATCATCTGTATGGTTGTGAGACCTGGAGGCTCTGTAACCCAGGAAATAATTGTGAATTTTTAAATATTACATATGTTCTGCCAAATAAACAAATAAATATCGGGCCTCACATCCCAACAGAAACAGGCAAGTTTCCCAACTACTGAATACAGATTTATATTAAATTAAAACAAAATGACACAAAGTAGGTAGAAGAGAGAAATGCTGGTTGAGTTATAAACATCCTTAGTTTTATCAAACTGTTCATTTTTCATTTTCCTAATATTGTGTGACAGAGAATATTTATAATAAAGTTCAACTTCTGCACAAAATTTTAAATAATTTCCTAAAATTATTTTATCACCACTTTAAACATTATTTATAATCATATAATTACATCATGTATTAAAAACATTTGTTTATAACTAGGAAATGATAATTTTTAAATCCAATAGTAGTAAAAAACTTCTGGTCTGACCTCAGAGCGATAAACTAGAAGATATCCAGCATTTTCAGTAGCTTTATATATTTCCAGAAATGGATCTGATTTCCAAAACCAATTTTTTTTATCCAAATCTGCTCCTCGAATTTTTAATGTAACTTCATCTTTTATTGATGGTAGTTCCTCTACAGAAATTTGGATAAAACCTGGATTTGTAGTAACGCTCTTATCTCTAGGTTCTAACTTCATTTCAATCTAAAATGCATAACATAAACACTAAGAAATAATTAGAATTGCCATGAAAAACATATTTCTTGTCTTTGATCAATATATTAACTAATTAATCAATATATATTGTTAATTTTGTATGTAGGGGAAGAACCAAGAAACTACTTTTTGATTTAACTTTTTTAATACGACTAGTCATGAAATGAAACTGGAAAGGTAATTTAGTAGGGAGACAAGAAACTATTTTGTAAACAGAATGAACTAAGTTAATATACTAGTTCAGGATGATAAATTTAATCTTGAAAACAATTAACGGATTTTTAAAGGGTAGGGACCATGATAATCAAACAATTGGGTATTTGTTGGAGTTTTCCATTTTTATTTGTCGGTGAAGATAAGGTAAGAACAATAAAAATGCTAAAAGTCAGACAAGTTTTTCTGATGTATATTTGGAAAGATAATTAGCATTAAAGAAAAGTGGTGGAGACGAAGCAGCATCACAAGAGTGTAGTGACGGCCCCCCAGAATGGTAAAATATATCAGTCTCACAAAAAAAACATTATCTCTAAAAAGTATTATAGTTCATTAATTACAATTAATAAGACTTCAAGAATCACTTAAACACCATTTTTTATGAGTTAGTTTCTTTTTCTTCCAAATTAATTACAGTTATATATATAAAAAGTAGTCCTCAAAATTAATTCGTAGATCCGCTAGTGCCTCCAAGGAAAAATACCTCTTTTATTAGAAAATAGAAGATTTTTGGTAGCGATTTCCTCCAATATATTGGAACTAAGATGGTAAAGTTTTCATCAGAAAACTTCAATATTATTTTATACTTAAACATTAATACTACTAAAATACAAAAAAAGTAATGATGGACAGGTGGAGTACTGTTTAAAAGGATAAAACATTTTATTTATTATTAGCTGATGTACCCGTCGTTGATGGATATATAGTTAAAATTTGAGAATCATTTTTTGAGACGGATTTTGTATTATGGAGGGAGGAGGGAGCGATCCAAATTTAATTTTATAAAATTTGTTGGGAAGGGAGAAGGGTTTTGAAATTTTTTATGGGGTACTTATGGAAGTCAAGGTTTCACAATATTAGTAATAGCAATAGTAGCATAATAAAAACATTGTTATTTGGCTATGTTTAGGTGCCACACAACTAAACTGACCACCACCAATCCATTAAAATTTGTTAAGTATTTAATTTTCAATTATGATGAAGCAAGTATATTATAACTTTAGTTCTACTCAATATTTTGTTTTTACGCAAAGTCTGTTTTAAGTCAAACAAATCTAAATATAATGTAAAAATTTCAAAAGTCTACCATTAGCTATTGCTGAGTTTATTGTTGGCAAAATAACATTGGACATTGAGTCACCTACATCCGTGTAAAATTAGAAGTTGATCTGAATATTGTGGCGGACGGGGAGACATTTTTGGGAGTTTTTTTTTCTGATTTACAGCTAATCCGTTTGGTTAATCCTAAAAATCTATAGGAGAACATTAGTTAGGCTCGGGAAGTTGAATCGAATGACACATTGAACGGGTGGTTATAAGTGGATTTGGTGACTGTAATGTATGAAACAAAAGATATCATTTTAACATGATAAATCACTTTGAAAAAAATAAGTTTTTGAGTTTGGAAAATAATACTATCAGATTAGAAGAAACTTTACAAGTTCACATGTGTCATGTCAGTTTAACAGAAGTGCCAAGATCACATTGTAGATAGAATTCTGAAAATATTTGAATGTCGATAACTATGTTCACTTGTGGGCTTGCTATGCTCACTGTGGTATATATAGAGTCAGAGAAAATGGATTCTTTTTAATTCTCGATCAAACACCTTTTCAGTCTCCGCCAAGCACTTCCGGACATACTTGGCTACTTTCAGGATTATATGTATAGTGAGATTGACTCACCTGTCAAAAACATCATGCAACACTAGTAAACTATTGCTAAAAAAACATTAAGAAAATTTAAAAAGACAATTGTAATTTATAAAAATTACCTAAATTTTATTTATATTAAATTAAAATGTAAACCTTTCCAAGACTGATGATTTGAGCTAGTTGGCAAGTAACAGATCCAATAAAATCATGATCTCCCAAAAAAGTACTAGAAGAATCACAGTCATATATTTCGAAACGTAGGGGCTGTTGTTCTTCAAACCTGTAAGTCATCTGTAAACTTTTGGCAAAATGCGGATCTTTTGTGTTTTCTAAACATTCTGTTCGATGGTACTCGATCCATTTATCTTCGCCAAATTGACGAATGGATGTAACACACATCGGATCTGATTTGGATAATACATCCTTCACAATAAGCTCTCTATAATTAGAAATTACTGATTTTTAATATACATGAATCCACATATAAAGATATATGTATATACATAGATTATATAGAAATTTAAGATATTTAAAAATAAAAATATACCTGCAAGAAATAAATAATTCAACCTCAGAGGTAGGTAATGTCATCATATTAAGATTTGTTCATTAACAAATATTACTGTCAAAATTTGATGAAAAATAAATTTGCAAAAACTATACAAATTTATTTTATTCTGCCTAGCTTTTGTAAGTGTGATTTTACTTTTTTATAGTATTATAATTTTCTAATAATATTTTCGTTATCAATAAGGAAATTAAAATTATTTCTAATTATCCCAGAGAAAGTTAAGCTGAAACAAGCACAACCTATATGTAAACATGTAACCAGTAAGATAACCTTCAAGGGCAACAGTTTCAGGAATAGAATTTTATTCCATTTTTTGTTTTGTTTAATCTGGTAAAAGCAAAAATTTAATTTGTTAACGTCGGAAATGAACAACAATGACTATTTATTTGTTAAAGTTTTTTTTATTTATGTCTACTTTGGACAAAGGTAAGTATTTCTAGTGCTCTTTTTAAAGTGACAAGTTACCTTCATTCAAAACATGATTGACAACAATTTCAACTAATTATGTTGTTTTAGTTTTGTTAGGTTTTCAAGAAATGAATCTTGTTGTTGTGGATAGTACATCTCAAGAAGAAAATCCAGCTCATTTACTTAAGTTTTTAAATGATTCTTTGGTGCTTGGGTGCTATTTAAAAAATAACACAGAAGATAATGACATTGATCTTAAATGGATTTATTACAGGTTAGTCTATATTTATCTATCTAATTTCAAATAATCAGTTTTCCTCAAGCAATTTGTGATTCTAATCATTTAATCTAAGAATTTTAAAATTAACCAACTAGATTGAAACATCGTGTAACTATGTCTCAGATTGTTAATAATTTTTAATAGAAAATTAATTCCTCTTTTCTTATGAAGGAGAAATGGCTTCATTTGCCATTAATAATGGAGGCCACTGCATTAATACTATTCTACAAAAAAAAAACCCGTTTTTTGTTTATTATCACTAACTATACGAATTATTAGAATAATCTTTACTAAATTTTAACTATATCATCTTTATCATCTGCAAGATGTTTATCAATAATTAAATTCACCGATTTCTCACTGAGTAATAACCATTGACATTAATGGGAAAAACTGTAGACAATCATGCTAACTCAGCTTTCGGTACATATTGGTTGCAGCCACTATAAATAAGAGACAGCGACTAACTTTTAACCATAATAGAGTCGACTTATGGGAAAACTTTTTCTTATGGACAACTGTTGGTTTGTTGGTTGTATAGTAAAGGCGTAAAACCTGTTGGTCATCAACGCTGTTAATCAAAATTATTTATTATTATATCTTTCGGTTATGATTATTAAGAATTGGATAAAATTAAAAAAATGTAAAATGCACATTAAGGTTAAAAGTTGTTTATTGTTATTAAAGTTTAGTTATTTAAAGTTCGCACGTTATGTAAAAAAGAAAAAGGAAAAAAAAGAGGCGAGGAGTGCTATGTGGGAGGTTCAGATATTTTTTAAGATTCCTTCTTCGGAGAGAAAACATATGATTTTGCCTAGGATTTTTTCATAATTTCCCAAAGCAGCAGGTGTATTTGCTGGTATTCCCCTTATGTTTAATTATGGACAACTGTATCTAACCTTAGGTAGATTAGGTAGCCGAGAAAACCTATATATTTATGCCATAGTGCAAAAGATTTTTAAATATGTAATTTATACAGAAGTACTGTAACTTCTTTTAATAGTTAAATACATTCAAAACTATCCAACTGAAATATATTAGGTTTTTTTTGTTTTACCTTTTATTATTCCTTATAAACTTCAAATGATTTTCATCTTATCATATATACTTAACACTTATGTAAGGAAGTGTGGTAGGGCACTGAGCTTCCAATGCTCAAGGTCCTAGGGTCGGATACTGGCTCATGGCAGAAAAATTATTTATTCTGTTTCATTGGCCGTGGAGTGACCCTGGGATCAGGAGACTCACCTGGGACACACCCGGCCTCTATAAAGTGGGTACCCTTAATTAAATAATTAATTAAGAGGGAAAACCTGACGGTTGAGCATGATCTCGGTTAAAGCACCTCCTTGCACAACCATTGATTAAAAAACGGTGCTTTTCCTAAATTGTACTGAAGCCAAGACCTTTCATGGGTTGTAGTGATACAGGTTTTTTTTCACTTATATTAGAAATATATTAAGCATGAGTAAGGGACAGTTATGTATAATCCGAATTCTCTACCACCCTTCTACTCTAACCAGAGTGGGAATGTTGAGATTCATGGGTTCACTAAGTAATCAATTTCAATCTGCCCAGGTTGGATTCAAACCATCACTGCCAGACTCAAGAATGTTAAAGCAGCCAACGCTCTAACATGCTCAGGCATCACGACCTCCGCCCTACAGTATCTTAGTTAATTCAGTTGAAATCTGGTTTTTGGCCTTCTATTGGTCTCGTGCTTACTATTGAGGCTATTAATCTTGCATAGAAGCTTCCTGATGGATTACACCAATCCACCCAAACCGGAGTTGAACTATTATCGTTAGGGTCATGAAAGTTAAAGCGGGCTATGCCTCAGCAAGCTCAGCCATCACAATCTCTATCTGGTTTTTGGTCCCTCGTGTGGTCACTTGCCAACAATAAATTTCTTGTCTGCGTTATGGAATAAATAAGAAATTAATTAATTAAAAAGATAAACTCCCTTTGTTATTGGCTCTAGAGGTTGATATACCAACCATGATATGAAAAAATAAAGTACTAAATATTAAAAATAAATCTTATTTTTATTTCTAAATTAATATTATATTTCTCTGTTACTTAAAATCTACCATAATATTAAATAAATAAATAGGAGAAATATTAATCATATATTTATCTCTACGTATAATTTATCATTTTACCATTTACTCATATAATCTCTATACATCAACGTTTCAGGCTATTTATCGGACAATTTCTTTGTAATATTTTTATGATTTTTAAAAATTGTTGCTTAAATTCTTCTATATGTGATTTTGTCTATTAATATCAGAATACTTATTCTGATATTATTTGTTATTTTTACTTTAAAAGTTTTATTTTTGGTTTTCCCCTCCATTACATATGTTTAAGAATAGTGATATAGAGTTATATCATACTTAAAAATAAATATATGATTATCGAAGTAAAAGTTTGATACTTAAAATAGAACAAACCTTGATCATCAGAAATAAACAATATTCAAATTAGAAATCTGAGTATTTTTTTTTCCTTTTTTCAATTTATTATATTCTATTTTTATTTGCATCAAACAGAAGTTCAGCCTACAGACATTTTTTTTTAATATAATAAATTTCATATTTAATTATTGATAGATAACTCTTGAAAGTTTTCATATCCTTTGTACTTGCTTTTTTATATATTAACAAATGATGTTAGTCAATACCATAAAGAGTATATTATGGGCGTAATACTCATTCAGTAATTGTACTATTTTCTGTTTTCAATATGTTCATATTTTTCATTATAAAGTGTAAATATATGTTGTAGCTTTTATGTTTAATGTATCTTAAATTTTATCACACTTTTGTTTGATAAATTAGTTTACACTTAATATTGATTGTTTATGAAACGAATACAAGAGGTTATTTGTTTTTTCCATTTATAAAAGATCTTTTAATCGATAGTCTATATTTGTAATTTGAATGTTACAATTATTTATTGTTTGTTTTTGCAGATCATCTTTTGATGCAATAGATGAAGACTTTAGTAACGAATCATCCATTGCAAAGTAAGTATATACTGAACATTTTTTATATTATAATTTATTTTTTCTCATTTTTCTCCTTATTTTTATGAGTAAAATTAGGGATTATAATTTAACTGTTCATTTATTTAAAAATATGACAACCAAAATACAATGCTATGTTGGTGTTAAAGATAGCTATAAAATATTTGATGGATTCAGTGGATTACTTTTTTAATTCATATGACTTTTAAATGTATAAGAATTGAAATGAAAGAGGATAATACAATGAATAATACCTATCACAAGAATATATTTTCAACTGTACTTTTATAACAAGGAATGTTTTAGGTTGAATTTCTTTGTTCCTGAGTTAGATTATTATTTTTTTTTAAACCTCTCTTGAGAAATGATGGCCAGGATACTGAAAATATTGAAGAAATTTGAAATAGATATTTTTATATACTATTAATTTTGAGGTATGTCATTTTTCATTTGCAGATGCTTACATTGAGCCAAGTAGGAAATTTTCTGTCTTGCGATTGGTACGTTCTATATTCTGAAATTTTTTCCATGTTTGCTTTCAGTCTGTTGATTGAAAACAGTATTTTGCTGCTAAAATAGTGAACAGTTTAGGCTTATGCATTTGTTTTTATAAATGTTCTATTGTTATGCTTTCTTTTCCTTTCTGTTTATTTTTATCAATATTTATTTAATAAATTTAAGAACAATTGGATTTACTATGTAATAGGTTCACAGTTGATTGTGGTTCATTTAAATATGTTTAAATATGATAATAATTTAAACTCTTAAAGATTTTTTAAATTTAGATGGCAATAAATTATTATTTTTAGTCTGATATGTGTATAGTTCTTTCAATACCGACAAATGTTATATGCATGTTCTTTAGTTTCCTTTAATTAATTTAAACTTAGCTGCTATAACATGCTAATGATTTTTTCTCTCATTTATGTTCAAGCAAGAATTTCTAATGTAATTGAGTAGGCAAATCTCATTTAAAATGTAAATGAGGGCATGCATGAAGTTTTGACATTCAAGATTTATTCTATTAAATAATTATTTTATTTACATTGAATAAATAGTAGTTGATACCATTGAAAAGATGGAGACAGTTTATACCATACAAAAATTAATACATATCCAATGTTTTATTATCTGTTTATTTATATATATATATATAAATAATTGCTCTATTTCCAGTAGAAAAGTAGGAAATTTAAGATGTGTGTTTTTTTTTAAGCGAGTCATGTTTTTTTGTTGAGCAAGAAGCGATAACTGAAACAATATTTGATTTAAGAAATTAAATATTGATCCATAGTAAACCAGACAAAATTTACTTTAAACGAAAGTACATTTTGTTATTTTTAAAACTATTCAAAGAGGACTATTGATCGGACAAACACAGCTAAGTTCCATTTAAAAAAAAAGCATAAATTATTTGTGATTTTTTTTTTTTTTATTGCACTTTAACTTTCCTACAGTTACCCAACTTTTAGAAAAACGTTCTCGTGAACAATATTTGAAAAATCATTATTTTTAAATTATTTATTTCTATAAATAAAATGTGTTTTTAGGCAATTATTTTTTTTACAATACACCCCATATCACGGAAAAACAAGAGATAGAAGCTTTGCAACAGTTAATTATAGTCATTTTTGCAGAAAACAGGGGCACTTTGAAGCAATGTTTAATTACTTAAATCCAACATTTTTGGAGGTATTGCCGTCATAAAGCAATATAGGTTTCCTTTAACTCTATATATCAACAAAAATTATGAAAGTACCTGAAAAACCTGAAGATGAATTTTAAAATAATTTGTAAGTCTTTTTAATTCCAACTCTAGTCGCCTTAATAACCCTTCCATACACCGAGCAACCGTAGTCCAAGTGGTAGAAAACAAGTGAAGATACTAAGATCTGCCGAGCATTTTGAGCGATGAATTTACAGAATCTTTTAGGACATTTATGGATTTTCGTGTGATCTGGGAATTATGATTATTCCAAGAGAACTGCTGATCGTAGGTGACAGAGGTTTTTTTTATAGTTGATTGTATATTTTATTGAAGGTATAATTAAAGAGTTCAAGGTGGCGCTTAGTTTGGTACTTGTTAAATAGCCGGACGGGTCGAATCCTCCCTTGTTATCTAATCTTATATCACATAACCTCCCTTCTTATCTCATCTAACCTAATTTATTCCATTGTTTATTGTTTGTTCCTCATGTAAGCTGTGATTTAGTTTTATTTTCATAAAATTATGGATGTTGTTACATTGTTAGAATTGCCGTCTTCAGGAGAAGAGGCTATCAAATATTTTCAATACGCTGGGATAATTGCAAAGGTGGAATATTGTGATGAAGGTCATGAAATAAAGTTGGACGGGAAGACGAAATGGAGGTGCTTTCGTACTCGTAACAAAAACGTTTCTATAAGGAAAACACAATATTTTTGTTTTTCTTTCGGTTGCATAAACAAACAAATCAGGTTTAATTTATGTAGTGACTTATGAAATTTAGTCTATACCTTTTTATGGTTGCTCTTATGTTTAGTTGAAAGTCATTAAAAATTTGAGTCATCCCAGAAACTGCAAAGGTTTGAATTTGAATGACATGTCTATGTCTGTCAGAATCATTATAAAATTCTCTTCCAAGGAATTAATAAAGCAATTTTATATTGACTCTCAGAATTCTAATACTTTAAAAGAATGGAAACCCATGATGTTTCATTATTTTTATTTATAAATTTAATTTAAAAAAAACTTTTTTGCAGGTATTTTAACTATTGGCCAACTCTTTATGGGTGTTAATTTCTCAAACTTCTCATGTTGGAATTATTAATTCAAAGTCTTGACTGTGCTAGTCACACATTTATTTTAATATAATATATATTTAACATTCCTCTTACTTCTGTTTTGTTATTATTGTTTTAGACCATATGACATAGTTAATGAAAATGGTACCCTTAAACTTCACATATCTCACTTGCAACTTGTACATAATGGCAAATACAAGTGCGAAGCAAGAATCAATGATTCTGAAGTATATAATCAAAATGTAACGCTTATTGTAAAATCAAGTAAGTATCTGTTTTTGTAATATTTATGTATGTAATTACTAGTAGTTTTCAATATTGTTTTTCTTTTTTATATAGTAGATTTTTTTTTAAATGTGAAAATTTCTTTAAGCATGCTTTGCATTTTTTTTTTTTTTTCTGTAAATGGTGAATGAGACTGACCCTTCATGCTCGGATGTGTAATGCTCATTTGAGTAAAGTCAACTAATTGAAGTATTTTTGCGATTGGTTTAAAATACTCAGAAACTAAAAATCGGAACTACATACTGTAAGTGAGGGAAATGTTAAGGGGAATCCTCTTTGTAATGAGCTATTATTCAAAATTGTATCTTAACATGACGCCATGTTAGAGAGGCTAAAAGGGATTAAGATAGTTTTGAAAACCAAATGATAGTGAGTTTTGTCGAACATATGGATTAAAATATCTCAGAAGTTATATTAAAAAAATTACAAAGTTTTTGTTAGATATTTACCAAATAGATTTCAATCAAAAGTATTCATCACATATTTTAGTTATCATAAATCATAAATGATGATCAGTCGTAATTAATAATAATACAAGGCCTAATTAATAAAAGAATATTCTAGTTTATTGTATTTATTTGACTGCACCCCTGACCAACTCCTTCTCATATCATAATCTTGGTCAACTATCTCTACACCGTTTCTGTTTATAACTAAAAAAAAAAAAAAAATGATATGAGAAATTTGAAAAATTGTCAGTGCTCTTACAATACAGTCTATCTGAAATTTTGATATTTTACAGTGCAAAATAAAAAAAATAAAATTACTTTTGTAATACTTATTGTTAAATTAAAATTTTTATTCAATTAAATAGGAGATAAAATTTGGTAGAAATACGAATAGAATGCATTGTCATATACTAAATACTACCCATCTGAAAATTAACATTTGTTTTATTTATTACCTTTAATACTTTAATAATCACTTGATGTAAAAAAATATTTAGATATGTTATTACCTGATTTTTGACTTTATCTTATGCGATGAAATGTTCTTCAACTACAAAATATGACAAATCTGGTTTGGTGATTGTTGCCAGAAGAGAAGAAACACTAATAGAAGTGAAATAAATAGTTTCTAAAAATGGGAATGAAATTGTACCTCATTTGCAAGTAGGAGGTCCTGTAACAACATTAAAATAAAGAATTTAATTTTGAAATTGTACCTTCCTTTATCTATGATCATTCTGCAGTATATAATGTGATTATAATTTACTGGAAATTTGCAGCAGAATAATGACTGATGATATAGTCTACTACATAAAACTGAACCTTCTCTACTTTTAACAGTTGTCGAAAATATTCAACAAAATTAAAAATAAATCAATATCTTTTAAGTCTAGTTGTCACCTATGTAATGAAAACTTGGTGTTTGTTCTAAGATGATCCTTGTAAACTGAGATTATTTAAAAGAAAGATTATAAGAAGGATTTATGGAGAAATATAAGTTAATGGTGAATGGAAAATTAAGAGCAATGCTGATATTGCGATTTTAGTAGAGAATATGAACATCATTAATTGTATCAAAGCGAGTAGGCTAAGATGGGATAGGATAGGTAGTCAGAATGGAGGGTGAAAGGGCACAAAAAAAATATTCAATGTGCACTTCTACAAAAAAAATAGAAAAAAAAACAATTGATATGTAGTACTGGAGAAATAGTTAATATACATTTTTGAAGCAATCACAATAAATGGTTTGATGCTAAGATCACCATTCACTATATACATACTTCCATCTACTGACCATCGAAACCCAACTCCGTATGATGATCAGTTTCAATGCAATTCTTCCACCTATTTCTTGGTTTACCTCTCAGATGCTTATCAGTTGGCTCAATAATTATTCATTTTTTTAGGAATTTCTTTGTTACTGAACCCAACAATTTCACTTATCCATTTTATTCATTGTAGTATTGACCCTTGTAAATTCTTCAGTCCCTATCTTTAAACAATAAATTACTTTCAAAAACCTTAAGGTGTTGCTCCTACTGTAAGTTAATAGGCCACCTATTCCATTTATTAAGAACAGTGGGAAAGATAAAAGTTTATCATTCTAAATTTTAAGTTTTAAAAGAAGAGGTGGGAGTTGAGTAATTCTCACATAATAAGCATAGTATTTTTTTTTAATTTAAATTTTAACTCTTGAGATTACATTTGTAATTAAAATTTAAACAATACCATCTGTTGCTTACTTAATAATCAAAGTTTTCTTTACTCACGTTAATAAATTTTATTCTATGAAAAATACATTTATCAAATTCATATTTGTATATATTTCATGTGTTTTAGAACCTTCTTGTGAGAAGAAATTTGATTGTGATGGTAATCAATGCATATCAAGTATTTATAAGTGTGACGGTGTCGTAGATTGTAAAACAAAGAGTGATGAATCTCCTGAAATGTGTGGTGAGTGATATTCAACATCAGTTACATTATCAATATTGAGCATAGTCAATTTTTTATGATTTCAAAAAATAGCTCTTTATTAGAATTCCATAGCTCTCACATGATCCATTTATTCATAATAATTAATCCTTTTTTTTTCACCTGATAGTGCACATTTACAAATTTAAAGACAACAGCTATGGAGATAATATATAAACTTCAAATTTTGAATGAGTTTCATGAATTGTTATTAATCCTTTTTTAGTCATGTGTATTCCAGTTCTCATGACTTTGAACTTCAATTCTGACATCACTTCTTGTTATTTTGAGATAAAGTAAGTGTTGGTTTACTGTTCAAGACCTAATCTACTATTTTGGCACAATATGGGCATCTATTTGGAAGATAAAGGTGTCATTATCTTCCTTTAAAAGTCACATGCTATGTGGTGAAGTAACCAATAGTGAAGCCAACATAAAATTTTTCTATCATACATGTTAAAAAAAATCTCTTAATTCACCTCAATTTGAACCCTCTAAATCCGTTTACTAGAACTGGTCATGGGAACTAGGGCTCACATTACCACTTGGACGAGAACTCGTCAAGAGAACTACATTTCCCAAAATCTATAATCGCTGCTAAAAATTTATAGGTCCATAATTTCCACATTATCAAATCTATTCCATCATGAAATACCCAGAAACTACAAAAAATAAATAAATAAAAATTATTTTCTCAATGAAACTACTTAATTAAACAAAGTGCAGATTTAAGGGTTAAGAAAAATCTGGGGATATATGGGTTGGACTGGCCAAGCAGGCTAACAGGTGTACAAACCGTATTACCCTAGCAACCTGATAAACTGAAAATAAAATGATAAAATAATTACGAGTTCGTGTCCCGGTGCTGGGAGGCTTTTAACTCTGTCATTAATTCCCTGCTCTCATCTCTGATCTGAAAAAATTCCCATATAGCCGAAAAGGCTAGAATAAAAATATATATATACCATCCAATTATCATAGATACTTATTTATACAATTAAACACAATAGATACTCTATAAAAAAAAACTATCATAAATTTCTATAAAACATTGCTGCAGATTTAAAGAGACACATTCCATTTCAGGACCAAATCCATGTGAAGGTAGAATTAAATGTAGTAATGGAAGATGCATCCCTGAAGAATGGTGTGAACCTTGTGATCCGCAAAAGATAAATTGCACAAACAGGTACATCCATGATTGTTGTCCAAACCAAGTCATCATAAATTTTCCAAAAGGTATTAGCTTCTTATGTGTTTTTTTTTCATACATTATGAAATTATTTTTGTTTATTGATTGCTCAATTTTATAATTTTTAGGATTAATATACGGCGATGGAAGTTATCCTGGAAGATATAATGATTACGATAGACTTAATATGCAACAGCATTATGATATAAATTTTATTCAGACGACAATCTACACTATCATTGGTTTGTGATCTGTATAATAAACTTTTATATTAGGTATTGTATTCTTTAATAACCGCAATATATTGTAGGTTGTGCATTAGTATTTATGATCATTGGAACAGTATTGGTTGTGGCTATTTGTCGCATTCATATGAAGCGTTCACCCATTACTCATGTGCCAAATAATAGACGGAGTTATACTACCACTGCATATCACAGAGCATTTACTCAAGAAGTAAGAGTTACTTTTTTCAATAAAATGATTAATTAAAAAAAAATACTAAAAGAGAAAATAAACAATGAATACTCAATGTTATTGAATTCTAGATTGGTGTCTACGACTTAGATATATCGGTGAACCGACCTGAAGGACCAGGTCTTCTCGTTACTTACAACATCAACAATGGCGTTCAAATAGTTGGTAGTCCTGTGGAGCCTCCCCCTTATTCTGAAATAGCATCACTTCCTCCTCGAGAAGGACCTCCACCCCCCTATACACTTTCTAATTTGTGTAAGTTATTTGAAATAAATTAGTGTTTACATATACTCTTATGTATTTAAAAAAAAAAATGTTTTGAAATAAATTTAAAAAAAAAAAAAATTAAAATAAGCATAAAGCTAGAATAGAGACATAAGGTAATTATGTTATAAATGGAAAAATTTAAACAACAAAGCCATGAGTTTCAAACATACAAGTGAATGGTTAACTTGCCAACATTTCGCAAATTCAGGCATCGTCAGGGCAGAAAAACCAAGATCACTTATATGCAAAAAGGAAAAAAAATTATTGCAGTAGGCAAACCATGAAGCCATCCAAATACATACTCAATTAACTCAAAGAGTATGTATTTGGATGGCTTCATGAGATATCCACCGTAATAATTTTTTTATTATTTTTTCTTTCTGCATTTATTTGATCTTGTTTTTTCTGCCCTGATGATACCTGAATTCGTAAAATGTTGGCAAGTTAACTATTCACCTGTTTGGAGACTCATGGCTTTGTTGTTTGGATTTTTCCATTTATAACATAATTTAAAAAAAAAATTAAATATTCATACTTTAAGAAGAATTTTGTTCAAGAGTGTAGTCAAAATACACGCATATAATATATTTTTTTTCTGTTACTTTTTATAGACAATGTAGATCTTTTGTCGCCTTCTCTCTTTCTTTCATGGTGTTACAACTCATTAATGAGTCATGGCCTATTCCTCCGGACATCTCTGTTCTGTGCGGCCCATCATCCAACTCCTGACTCCCAGAACATCTCTTACATTTCTTGACACATCATCCAACCATATCAGTTTTAGTCTCACCTTCTTCTAATGCCGTAGAGATGTTCTGCCTGTATTATAAGGGATTGCTTCATCCTCCATTCCATTGCTTCATCCTCCAGCCTATCTCAGTCTTCCAAGCTTCATTTTCAGAACTATGTCTTGTTCGTTAAATATTGAGTAAATTTTGACGTTTGTCCGCCTTGTATTGCTGTTGCTTTCTAGTTATCTGCATGTAGCTCTACAGCATCTTCGTTAATTTGGTTCATTTTTAGATTTTGGCCTTATGGTGGTTTCTAGACTACTATTGGGGCCATTTATTGTTGTGTTGAAGCTTTCTGATAAATTGCATTCCGAGTTACATGCCCTAGGGGCCTCGTTCCCATAAGCAGTTCTTTATTCATGCTTTTCCTTCATTTGTTAGTACTCTAATCCCAGATTGTTCTGGTTATAATTCAGAAGATTTTCATCTCAAATCGTTTGAATCGTTTTGGATTGACGAATGTGGGGAGGGATGGAGTTCCATAGGGAAGAGGATCGAATAATAAAAGATTTATCGAAAGCAGCGGTTCGGTAGGCCATTATATATAAATCTGAAGACCGGGAACGGGTACTGCGGGATTAGACAGAGGATTTTAATTGAAAGAGCTCGGAGATGTATGAAGGACGGCGGGAGTGAATTACTTGGAAGAGGAAGGATGCCAGAAAATACTTACGGCGGTAGGAAGAGTAAAGCCATTTCAACTCTTCATAGAAACAGGAAACAGAGGCGTCTCTTGGGATCCTGAAGATGAATCGTACAAAGCAATTTATCAAACGTTTTAGTTTCGCCTTGAGATCCCCAGAGACGCCTCCATATACCGTGCAGCAATTGTCGAGATATCATGTATCCATTATGTATGGATTACATTGTCATTGTGTATCCTTAAATTGAGGTTTCTTGAATTTTTTAAGGGATTTCAATACTTTTGAAGGAGGGCAGAAACCTCAGTTTGCAGGACATTAATGGAGAGTCCTTACGAAGACCTACAAATAGATTGAAACATAGGCAATCAATAAATATAATTCCCGCATATGATGCCTGTGACTTTTGACGACACCACTTATGTTCTTCTTAAATTTGAACTACAGTCAATAATTTCGATACCATTTTAAATATTTATAATTGTAAAAATTCAAATATACTCTAGTTTGCAAATGACATTTAAAAAATTCACTTATAATAAAACTTATTTATTAAAAAAAATAATTCATAAAACAAAAGAAAAAGTTACAATAAAAAAAGAAAATATTTTGTTTATAAAAGATTGATTTAGTACTTTTTCGAATGTCCATGGATAATAAATATTGATTTTCATTCATAATTTTATAGTTCAAATTAAACATGTAACTTTAAAAGTTCCAATTTCAAATTATTATTCATTTTGTTTACATGGCTTCATTATTCTGGATACCGTTTGTTCCTATTCTATTTTACTTTGATTAATATTTATTAGGAATATATATAGTAAGTATTATGTTTTAATGATTTCTTTAAAAATTTTAGATGATAATACTCAGAATCTTCTGAATGTAAGATCTGCTCAGCGTGAAGCATCGCCTAAGTCCAATAATAATAGACCAATACGACATGGTTTATCGAATGGTAGAGTGTCTTCAGAGCCTTCATTGTTAAATGTTAACAGACTGTAAATATTGTTTTTATTTTATTCTTTTTTTATAGTAAAACAAGTTTATAAAAAATAGGTGCTAATTTTTTAAATAAATGAAATTGCATTTTACTTTGTTTTATTTATTAACCCATGAAAATTTTTTAAAACAATAGATAATGTCTTTATAACAAACAAATTTATTCTTGAAGGAAGTAAGTCGACTGTTCTACATATCATGGGTGATAAATATTCAGGATGCAGTCTTTTTTTTAAAAAAAATTTTTATTTATGCCAATGTTTCAACTCAAACATGTGAGTCATCTTCAGGGCGTGGTTTGAGCACTAAGGGTGTTCAAGTTCTCACACTTGGAGTACTTAAACATCCTTAGTGCTCAAACCACACCCTGAAGATGACCCACATCTTTGAGTTGAAACGTTGGCATAAATAAAAAATTAAAATTTTTTTAAAGAAAAAGGACACTGCATCTTGAATATTTATCACTCAAAAACAAATTTATTATATCAACTGTTCAAACAGTTCATATTATTTTTTAAATATGTACTTTAGGTCGCATATTTATTAGTATTTGTTAAAGCATTCTTTAACTTTTAAGTTTCTAAGCATTTCTTGTTAAAATTGTATTTATTTTATTTTTTTAAGTTTATCATATTCTCTTTCATGTTTAAATGGCCTCTTCTGAAATAAGAATTCCAAAATTTGAGGGATTAGATTAGCAGATATCTCATTTTAGATGATTATATTCCTCATATTTTAGTTAAATATATATTTTTAAGTACATTGAATCCGAAAATAGCCTATATTTACCACCATAACATAGTTTTTTTTTTTGAGGGGAGGAAGAAGGCAATTAATTAATTTGATCAGGTAATAAATACCCATTTGCTTTCCATTTGTGAGTAGCAAGATAATTTGTGGTGATTTAGTGGACGGGGTGGCCGAATGTGCTCTGCACCACCGTTGCCCAGCAACCTGATATATGACTCAGTGATACAAAAATAGTCACGATTTTGCGTCCTGGTGTCAGGGGAGTCTTTTAAATCTCCGCTCACCCCCCTGGCCCTGGAAAACCCCGTATAGCCTTAATGGCGAGAAAAGGGAGGACCCAAAAAAAAAAAATAATTTGTGGTGACATAAAAAAAAAAAAAGAAGGATATTAGGTTTTATATTAAGCAGAACGGCTCTCTCTGGGTAAATGAAGTAAAATAATGTTTTTTTTTTTTTATTTCGTTTTTTCTCAAAATTTTATTTTGTTTTTACTTGTTTTAATTTAATTTCACTGAAGATACTGTATATATTCTTTAATATTGATTAATGTAATTTTTGGCCAGATGTAGTTTTAATTTTTTTGTTCATATCTGTTATTCATAAGGGACCTTGTCCCAGAATAAAGTTTACTTTCTATCTATCTATCTATCTAAAATTATCATTGTAAGATAAATACCTTGTGACTTAAACATATTTACATCCTAACAAGAAATTCTTATCACACAAATTTCAGATTACTGACGATGTCTCATACCCCATAATCAACCCTCATATTTTGAAACTCTGTAATTTTTTTTGGCATATTTCATGTAAATTTTTAACTTTTTTGAGAAAATAATAAGTCCAAGAAAGATTGCCACAATAAATGCCAGCATAACGTGATATTTTTTAATATGCCATGCATTAACATTGAATTAAATCATAAATGAGTTCTGATTATTTAAAAAACATAAATTAAAGTTTACTCTGTGATTAATTGTGAGAGGAGACTATTTTGTGGTAGCTAATTGCACATTTCTGCAGTTGTGGATTGTATAGACAACAAAATAAATTAGACATGCTAAGCTGTATAACTTTTAAATGGTGCAAAATCGTAAAAGTAGACTTCTTGGACCCTATCAAAAAAATAGGTGGAGATCAAGAAAGAGAGTCTTCATGATGCTGGATGAGTTTTTAAACAACCATAACTTTTATAAATGGGATTTCTTAATAAATCATTCAATTAAACTGATTACACATTATTATTTCTTTTTATATGTTCCCTTGGAGAATGGGGTAGCTCAGTGGTAGGGTGGGTACTGAGCTTCCAATGCTAAAGGTTCCAGGTTCGAATCCCGGCTCATGGCAGAAAAATTATTTATTCTGATTCGTTGGCCGTGGGGTAACCCTAGTTAGGTAGACTCTCCTGGGGCACACCCAGCCTCTATAAAGTGGGTACTTTTAATTTACTCACTTTATAGAGGCTGTGTGTGCCCCAGAAGGGTCTACCTAATTAAAATAATTAATTAAAGGGAAATACCTGGCGGTTGAGCATGATCTCGGTCAGATCACCTCCTTGCGCAACCGTACACCAAGAAACAGTGCTTTCCCTAAATAGTACTGAACCCAAGACCCTTCATAGGTTGTAGTGGTACAGGTTTTTTTTTTTTTTATATGTTCCAGGAGGTACTCTTGTATTTATGTATTATTTCTTGTATTTGATGAAAATAATTATTCAATTTAATTGTATTTGTTATATCCGTAATACATGATTATTGATATCGATTTTTTTATATATATCCCAAATTTTCTGTTTATTATAGATGTTTATTTTTGAGATTGAATTACATGATGTATGTCAATACTTGTACAGCTTATATAAGCAAAAACGATTAAACTAAAGAATGAAATGATATTCAGCTTATTTATTTTTTATATTTGAATTGCTATTATTATCACAACAGTATTTTAAAATAAAAATGGTCTCATTGCGTAGATATATACATATCTGATTTAAATAGTAATAAATATTATTTACATTGTATTTTAGTGAATTCATCCATAAATTAAGTACACAGATTCATTGTGTTCAGATAGAATTCAGATTCACATTTTTTTCTTTTTCCGTTATTTTATTCAGTTTATGATAGTCAATTTAGTTAATATTTGTAGTTATTTAATTTTATTAAAAAAGTTTTTTTGAAATTAAATGTTTGATTCAATATTTTTTTTTATTGTTATACTTCAGTAGCAAAACAACAATATTTTTATTTAAAAACTAATAAATAATAGAACAACTAAAATGTATTTAATTATGCTTTCCTTAATTTTTATTTTGTTTTCTTTTATTCATATTTACATCAATTGGATTACAGTATTTTTCATTGTATAATTAAATTTTACATTATAAAAATTAAATTTTTCAACAAAGATGTTGATGTATCTAAATTTTAATCATACTTATGTTATTTTAAGCTATAAATATGAGTTCAGTGTGAATATATGATATTTTTTTTGTGTATATATAATGTGCTTTTTCATTACTAAGAGAATTTGTATAGTTTTAAAAACTATAATTGTTTTTATAGTGCATTAGTTATTAGATATCACTTGATGTTAAATAGTCTCATTCATACTAAATGAACAAAATAAATAAATTCATTCATATAATTATAATCTTACCCATACTTTTATTATATTACTCCCTATTATATTTGATTCCTAATTGAACATTTTTGTGTTTTCTCTATAGTTTTAAATCATAAAGATGTATAATTAATTATGAAGAGAAGAATAGTTGGGGTGCTCAGTCAAAAAGGAAGGCAAAAAAATAAATTATAATATTTATTTTTTACTATAAATATTATAATTTATTTTTTTGCCTTCCTTTTTGACTGAGCACCCCAACTATTCTTCTCTTCATAATGATGTAGAGATGGTTGACCGTTGATATGATATGAGAAGGAGTTAGTTGAGGGTGCGGTCAAATAAATAAAAAAAATTAAAAAATATATAAATAATTTTAATTTTTGCCGACTCTAAAGTCCAGAAAACTTTGTAAATTGCATGATTAACACATGCAGTATTAAATTTATTAAGAAATTATCATTAATATTATTTAGAATGCAGACTTCTGGAGTGAGCAGTCCTTGTTTACTGAGGCCAGATCTAAAGTTAGATGACTGATGCCTATTTTCAACCAGACAATTGTCTATGTGTAACATTTGAAATGGCATTCATTTGGCTGAACTCACTGTCTGTATATTTCATGTAATAGAACTTAAAATTTATCATCAATAATTTTATTTTACTTATAGAGTGGTATGGTCCAAGCGAATTTATGAAAATTAATTTTACAAAAAAAAAAAATCTCATGAATTTAAAAGCTATAATAAATTATTAAAATTATATATTTCAAGAAAATTTACCTTATAAGATCCACTTAATTTGCAAAAATAACTATGATTAAGCATGGGTAAATCCCATGAAAAAAAATCAATCATTTATAAAAATAATTCTAAGTAAAGGACACAAACAAATTATTGCTTAGTTTGTGGAAAGTGATGGTTCATTTTCCTGTTTACTCAGAAATCTGACTAAGTGTTTTTATACCTAAATCACTAAGTACTAGAAGACTTATTCAAGTACTTATTAATTTATTAAGATTTTTTTTTTATAGTTGTTTAAATATCATATTTATCTGTTATTGTAATTTTAGGGTTATTTTGTAAAATATCCAATTTACAATCATTAATTGAAGTTCCTATAATAAACATTTTATTTATAGAGGAATACATATATTTTTTTGATTAATTTATGGGAATGTCATTTTCCATAAGGAAGTATAAAAAGAAAAATGCATTGATGTCTACACATTTGCTTTTATGTTGCAGCACAAGGATTCATTGTTCATTGTAGGAAGACATGAAGATGGAATATAAAAAATAAATATATATGGGATATAGTGAGGTATTATTTGGGTTAGGGTTGAGTAGGGCAGACAGAAGGGGGGGTTGTGGGTGTGTCTGGAAGGCGTTTCCCATGAATGAGTCCCGACGTCGGCTATTCCTCTCCAATCGATCCGGTTGTACTCTACTGCGTCGTAGTAATTGTAAAGCTCCATACTGAACTCCCGCCATTCCTTACCTCACTCCTTTATCCTACTGATGGCGGAGCTCTGAGCTTAAATTTTGTAAGAGAATGATTAACAAACGTAAATAACAAAAGCAAATTACAATTAAGCCAAGAGACAGTGCCCTTAAGAAGAACGGTCTCTAGCCTCGCGCCTTTAGGGGCGGAGGAATGTCAAGGACTTAGGTTCAACCTTCAAAGGACGCCACTAAGAAAAGTTTACTTTCTTAT